CAGGACAAGGAGTCTGCTTCATGCTCTTGGGAGGCCTAAGTCAGAACACTGAGCAAGGAAATGGCTCTTCCCAAAAACTGTTTAATCTATAGACTCAAAACCACCAGGCGAGGGTCCGGAATCCCGTTGGGGGACATCGGCTAAAAAAAAAAAAAACCCTCTCCTGTTGCAGGTTCCTACCCATCGCCAAAAGCCGGAGCCACCCTTGTTGTGTATAAGGACCTGCTGGTGCTGTTTGGCGGCTGGACGCGGCCGAGCCCTTACCCCCTGCACCAGCCGGAGAGGTTCTTTGACGAAATACACACCTACTCACCTTCCAAAAATTGGTAAGAGTGTTTAACTGTTTCGGGCGCCTGGTTTTCACTGAGAAAACACATGCACCCCGCCTTTTTTAGCGTTAAACCCCCACTCTTCCTCCTCCAGGTGGAACTGCGTGGTGACCACCCACGGCCCTCCTCCGATGGCCGGCCACTCCTCCTGCGTGATCCAGGACCGGATGATTGTCTTCGGAGGCTCTCTGGGGTCACGGCAGATGTAAGTCTCCCAACGCTCCTCCTTTTTCCGAATCTCTACGCTCTCTGAAAAGCCGTCCCCGAATTCCTCCCATCTCGCTCTTCCCCCTGCAGGAGCAGCGACGTATGGGTCCTCGATCTGGAGCACTGGACCTGGTCCAAGCCAAACATCTCCGGCCCTGGGCCTCACCCACGAGGAGGCCAATCTCAGGTTAGCGTTCGCAGCTCTTACCGTAAATGAGGCAGGCAGAAAGCATCCCGCTTTTCCTCCCAAGGAAACGAGTCTTCCAACTGTCAGATTAAAGCCCTGGTTTTTCCAGTAATATTGAGAGGAAGCAAGCAACTGCCTCTGGTGTCGGTCCTTCCTGGCAGAAGCGGGAGATGGAAACTCAGACTGTTGGGCACAGAGTTTTGCCCAGAGACAGGCCTTCCCAGAGTCAAGAAAGTGCCAGTGGGAGCAGGGACTGGCAGACCATTTCCCACCAGAAATGGCATCGTCCCAGAAGAGGCAACCTGTTGTGGCCTGTCGGCCGCCAGCCCCTCCAGCAAATCAGGAGGAGGAGGAGGAGGCGTGGGAGTCAGCATCAGGGCAACCTGACAGCTCCGAGGGGGAAGAGGGAATGGAGCTTGCAGAGAGAGAGACCGAGACGGAGCCTGGGCCGTCCGTCAGCCCTCAGATGAAGAGTCAACAGTCCCCAGGTCTGGAGGTGGCTGATGAGGAAGAGGAGGAACAGCTGGGTCCAGTGCCTGATGCACAGAAGGCAGAGGAGAGGAGAGCAGTAGAAATCCGTGGGCCAGTCCTTGGGAAGGAAGAGCCACCGCTGCTAGCAAGGCCCCACCCTAGCTCGGGGGATAAAAGGCAGGGGGCGGAGATGAATAGGTGTGGCAGACAACTATTCATCAGCCGGCCGGCCAGACTTTAGCCTGCATTTCAAAGAGAAACTTTTTTGCTGGGGCTGCCGGCACTCCTAATAAAAGAATCTTTTGAGTTCACATCAGAGGATTGGTCGTGTTTGGGGAGCTGGATCAGAACACCCCCAATTGGTCTTCCCTCCATAGATTTGGGATATTAAGCTCGGTTTGCAAAGGGGGTGGGAAGGAATGTCCCTGGAACTCCTTCCCCATCAGCTGATGGCATTGCTGCCTGTGCCAGCCAGGCCTTCTTGGAGCTCTCTAGGACTTTTCTTTCCCTGTTGTCATAGATTGTCATAGACGACGAAACCATCCTGATCCTTGGGGGTTGCGGAGGTCCAAATGCGGTGAGTAGACAAAGCTAGGATTGTCCTGCCATTCACCCCCTTTTCTGCCTTTCCAAGACTTTCGTGTCTGGCACGGCATCTGTTTGAAAAGGCTCCGGTCAACACAGGGGGCGATGCACATCTTCCTCCGGCCACCAGGTCCGAGTTGCCCCCTAGCAAAGGTTTACTCCTTGGGGAGGTGATGCAGAAACCGTCTTCTCCAAAGGTTTAGATCGAACAAGAAAGATAGAGATGAAGATAGAGACAAAGATGAGTATGGGAGGCGAATTAAAAAATGGATAAGAATTGAAGCACTAAAGAGGAGAAGAGATGATGGATAGAAAGAATTGCCCTTTAAATATTAAAGTAGCCTGACTATAAGCTGAAAGAGGCAGAAATAAAATTAGGGGAAATATTAGAATATAAATTTTTATAGAATGAACAAAAATAATAGATAGAAAGATTAGAAGTTTACACGTTAGGCATCTTTTTAATGTATGTTAAAATAATATGAGGATTACTTAAATTTGAGAAATGTGATAGAGATTACTAACATTGTTAGCGTGAATTTGATTAATATGAATGATACCCAGAAACAACTTTGCCTATACATAATAGAGAAATGTTTAGATTGAACAAGAAAGATACAGATGAAAAATGGAGATAAAGATGAGGAGTTAGGCATTTTTTTGTTTATGTATTTTTAAATAATATAATGTTGATAAATGTGATAGAGATTATTAATATTGTTACTGCGAATTGGATTAATATGAATGATATCCCCAGAACCAACTCTGTCCACACACAATGTATATTTAAAAAAATAATAATAAAAAATATATTTAAAAAAAACCCGTCTTCTCCAGAAGGAGGAAAGATAGAGCATGCCAGACAGGTGACGAAAACCTTTCAGGACTGCTAAGTCTGCTCTCGAGAGAACAACGCTAGAGGAGGGCCAGGCAGAAGGGGTAGGAGGAGGGTCCCGTCCTACGGGTGTTTCAGCTTTCCCCCGATTTGCAGCTTTTCAAGGACGCCTGGCTGCTGCATATGAGATCTGACCGTCCGTGGGCATGGCAGCCCCTGAAGGTGGAGAACGAAGACCACGGAGCCCCGGAATTGTGGTGCCACCCGGCATGCAAGGTGAAGGGAAGGGCAAAAGGGATCCCTGGTAGAAATTCTCCTTCCTCTTCCGTACCTCCTCGTAACCCAGAAAGGGGGTGAGCCGAGGTGTGTGGCAGCTCCGATTTTAAGAGTGTGGTGTAAGGCACTAAACCCGTGATGGTGAACTTATGGCACAGGTGGCACACAGTTGCCGCAGCCCAGCTCCACCGCGCATGTGTGCAAGCCCCCTGCCGGTCTTCAGGTCTCTGCCACGCATGCACGGGGGAGGGGGGGCGGCATGCAGGGAACACATGCGCGGGGGTCGGGATGCATGCGAAGGGGCATTCGCATTGCATTTTGGGGTTTGTGCGTGCCCCCCGTACCCTGTTTTGGGCCTGGAAGGCCACCTGCACCAACCTGAAAGCCAAAATCGGGCGTGGGGGGGCTGGGGCGAATGCGCAGGGGCACACATGAATACACGGATGTGGGGTGCATGCGCAAGGGGCACTTGCATTGTATTTTGGGGGTTCGGGCACGCATGCGTGCATTTGCGCATGCGCGCGCTTTGGGCACTCGGCACCAAAACGGGTAAACCATCACTGCACTAAGCTAACAGTGGGCTGCTTGACATGGCACAGTGGGGGGAATGCCCAGTGGGATCTTTCCTCTCCCCCTGCCTCTTGTCGAGTCCAGCATTTAGGAGTTTCCGGGGAGGCTGCTCTGCGGAACCGGTCCTGTGTCCGTCTTGAGCTAACTGTTTCTTCTCTTCCAGGTGGGGCAGTGCGTGGTCGTCTTCAGCCAAGCCCCCAGCGGGAGGGCGCCGCTCAGCCCTAGCTTGAACTCTCGTCCTTCTCCCATCAGCGCCACGCCACCCGCCCTGCTTCCCGAGACACGAGAATGCCGCTCTCAGTCTCCTGTTCGGACAGCAGATGAGGCTCCCTGTGTGAATGGCCGCTGGGGCACCCTGAGACCCCGGGGGCAGAGGCAGACGCCCTGCGGGTCCCGGGAAGGAAGCCTGTCGCCGGCTAGAGACGATAGTTCGCCGGTGCTGAACGGCAGTGAGGTCTTGTCTCCCAGCATTGCTGCCGCCACCGCCACAGGAGGGGCCTCTCCAGACAGCCCTCTCCAGCTGCTCTCGCCCAGCACGGCTTCCGTCGCAGAAGGCTATGAGCTGAAGGCGGGTCGTTCTTTGGCACCCAGGCGGGGCTCTCTCCCCGATCAGAAGGACCTGCGACTGGCCGCCGTAGACTTGAACTGGGAGGCCAAACCCCCTTCTCTGGTTTGCCAGCCGGATGGTGTGGAAAACAGGACGGTTGGCACGATAGGCCTCAGGAATCCCCCGGATCAGACCAACGGCATTCACACCCCGCCTCATGTGTCCAGCTCCCTGATGGGAGCTGTCTCTCCTAGCGCCCTGCGGCGGAGCCTAGAGGCAGTCCAAACACTCTCTTCAAAGGCCCTGCCCACTTTGGCGGTCAGAAGCCCGCCCAGGGTGTCCTCGCCGGGGTCCCCAGGCAGCCAGAGCAGCGCCAACCCTGCCGAAGCAGCCGTTCCTGCTACCGCTCGACCCAGCTCTGCCCAAGGAGATGGGCATGCCTTACCACCCATTGCTCGCCGCCTGGGCCATCACCCGCCTCAGTCGCTGAACGTCGGCAAGCCTCTCTACCAGAGCGTGAACTGCAAGCCCATGCAGATGTATGTGCTGGACGTGAAGGAGGTCAAAGGGCGCGGACGGGTCCAGTGGAAGGTGTTCCACGGCAGCTCCGTGGTGGGACCCCCCGAGACCAGCTTGCACACGGTGGTCCAGGGGCGGGGGGAAGTGATCATTTTTGGCGGCCTGATGGACAAGAAGCAGAACGTCAAGTACTATCCCAAAACAAATGCCTTGTACTTCGTGCGGGCAAAGAGATAATGCGGCCGGGGCCGCCTCCTCCCTCTTCGGCTGCCCTGGCTCGGAGGCTCCCCCTCAAACCCGTTAGCCCTGCCCTGGGCACGCTGTCAAGCAGGCTGTGATTGTGGCATTCCACCCACTAATAAAAGAGATCTACGCAAATGGCACCGAGCCTTTCCTCCCAATTCCCAGCATGGGCGCCAGGCTGAAGCCCCTTTTCTATCAAGAGAAAGGACAGTTTATGCGCCAGGCTCAAAGATACGCGTCTCGGGGGACACCTGGCCGAGCAGGATCTGGCCGTAGCTGAGTAGCCTCCGAGCTGAGTGCAGGCGGGCAGTCAAATCAGGCAGGGAGAAGAAGCCAGGCCCTCGGTTAGTTCCAATGCCAGTGTGGGCAAATGCCAAGTGGCCAGGCGGGGCACCAATGGGACGCGGCAGCCAGGCGGGAGGTTTGAAGAAGCATCCAAAAGCCAGCCCTGTTGTAGGGACGGCCGCCCTCTACCCTTGCGGCCTTCTCCTAGTCTTTGAAGGTGGGCGTTGGGGTTTTGAAGGGGGGCCTGCAGGAGAAGCAGAAGCCCCCAGGGACCAGGAGTGACCCCCCCACTCCCTGGGGCTCTGCCTCATTCAGAGCAGTCTATGAGCCAAGACTTCCCATACAGGGTGGAGAGAGCCATGCACGGGCAAGTAAGGAGGGCTGAGGGGAATGGCTGCTCCCACTCGTGTTACCGCTGTGGTGGTGCCACAACGCTTTGAGCTTCTGATGGGAGGTCCAGGTCTCGCCCCAGGTAGTCCAACAAAGCCCCAAATGAGGGAATGGGGCAGTGGTGAAATCCAATTTTTTTTACTACCAGTTCTGTAGGCATGGCTTGGTGGGCATGGCAGGGGACGGGTACTGCAAATACTCCATTCCCACCCCACTCCAAGGGAAGGATACTACAAAATCTCCATTCCCACCCCACTCCAAGGGAAGGATACTGAAAAATCTCCATTCCCACCCCACTCCAAGGGAAGGATGCTGCAAAATCTCCATTCCTACTCCAAGGGAAGGTTATTGCAAAATCCCCATTCCCACCCCACTCCTGGGACCAGCCAGAGGTGGTATTTGCCAGTTCCCCAAACTGCTCAAAATTTCCGCTACCGGTTCTCCAGAACCTGCTGGATTTCACCCCTGAAATGTGGGGGGGGGAGGGGGCAAAAGAAGGGGAAGGGCAGAACCAGCTGCAGCTCAAATGAGGGTCAGGATGGGCTGTTGGGCAGACACCCCACCCCAGCTTGAGTGGCAGCGCTCGACACATCCTGCTTGAAAGGCCCACGGCTTCAGCCAATTCCCACAGTTCAGGCAAGGGGGACATCGGGAGGGGGGTTGTGGGGAAGTGTGGGAATGTCAGCCACCTCCAATGCAGCATGCTTGAATATCTTGCCATGTAATCTCAGTCTTTGCTTCTGGTCACCCAAACAGAAACCCCTCTTAATGACTGGGTGGGGGTGAATTTGGGCAGTGAACTGGGGAAAGGGAGAGCGTAGTGGGCTCTCCTAGCTGGCAGCTGCCCACAGTGGGAATCCTGTGCCAGGCTTGTAGCCCTGTGGCTTTTTCCCACACTCCCCCTTTCGGGGGGTGGGAGGGTGGGGTGCGCCTGGGCTTTTATTTCCCAGCAGAGAGAAAAGCTGCACGTCGAAGCTTCCTGGCAGGCTGCCCAGATTGCAGGGATATTTTGATTGTGTCCCCGTCCCCCACACACACACCTTAGGAACAGTTTGGCAAGACTCTTAAAAGTCCTTTCCCCCCCTCCCCCAAGACGCTACACCTGGCCATGCCCTCCTAGGCCTTTCCACCTTGCACGTACTCGAAGGACTAAAAACACCCACTGGAGGGAAAAGACACGGGTGGGAAGCCCAAGTCTTTCACAAGCCGCAAGGAGCCATTTTCCAGCTCCACCGGTCTCCAGTTTCTGGTCACTCAACGTTGAAGGGATTTTCAAGGTAAAGGACTCAGACGCGTTTGAAAGCTGCAACCCACCCACCCGCACCCCCAGTCGCTTGCAGAATTGCGGCTTGCCTCCCCTTCTGATGGGAGAGCGGTAAATGATGCACATGCACACACCCGTTCAGTTCCCTCTGGGGTCCTCCTCCTGCAGGAGCAACAACCATGGCCGTCCCCTCCACGCCGTGTGAGCCCCCCCCCCAGGACGCCCTGGAAGTGAACAGCGCAGTGGTGACTTAAGGCAGCTACTATCCTCCCCCCCTCCATACACACAAACACACACAGAGATTTAACAAGTGTTGGAAGGGGCCTTGGAGGTCATCTAGTCCAACCCGCCACCCACCCAAGCAGGAGACCCTACACCATTTCTCAAATACAATTTTTCCCCCACATTTTTCTCCCCCCCTCCTCCCTATCCCCCCCTCACCACCCATCCCCCCCATGACTTCCTCACAACAAAAGCCTAATTCATAACAGATTATATAATATTTTACCATCCCCTTACTCCCTCCTCTAAATACTGAACCTTATTTACTAATAATATTAATATTATTACTTCCCCCTTTTACCATACATTTCAAAGTATCATTTTACTATAGCATTGCATAATAACTTCTAATTTAACATGATAATATTATTATAACTCCTAATTTAACAATAATCTGCCCTATTTCTCCTCCCCATGCTTATATCTGTATATTAATACAACATTTCATAACAAGCTTCCCTTTTAAAACTATATAATAAATCCTGCTTTAACATTTAATCTTTGATATATATTAATATAACATTTCAAAGCAGCCTTCCCCATAAATCCTAATTTAGCATTTATTCCCTTTTCTTAAACTAAACAATCAGTAAACTAACCTATCTCCACCCACTTTCCTACTAAGTTGCCATACACAACAATTCTTAATATCTTTAATCTACTACCCACCCTACTACAAAAAAATATTCCATTATATAGAATAAATCAATAACTTTAAGTTTAAAATCCATATAATATCTTCTTTAGTATCTGTCCACTAGATTATTGAGTACATCATCCATATTAGGGTAACATAGCATCCTAGGTGCAACAGATTGTTCCAAATCCTCAATTGTCTTCTGCCCCCATCAGTAATAATTCTCCTCCTATATATATAAAAAAAGAAAACAACCATCGGAGTGACATTATAATTATATTCCATACACCATTTCTGACAGGTGGCAGCTCAGTCTCTTTGAAAGCTTCCAGCGATGAAGCTCCCACAACTTCTGTTCCACGGGTTGATGGCTCTCAACGTCAGAACATTTCTCCCTTTATTTCTAGGTTTTGAATCTCTTGCAAGATCCATTATTCCTTGTCTGGCCTTCAGGTGCTTTGGAAAATAGCGTGACCCCCCCCCTCTCTGGGGCAGCCCCTCAAATATTGGAAGCCGGCTATCCTGTCTCCCCTGGTCCTTCTCTCCACCAGACTGGCCATGCCCAGTTCCTGCCACCGTCAGGCTCCTCCAGACGCAGGGACGGAGACCCCCACGTCCTTCCTTATACGGAAAAGCGAGGCAACCGGCGTAGCCCCGCCGCAGGAGATGCTGCGTTGGCAGAAAGAAAATCTCCAGTTTTGTCCAGCATCCTCGGATTACACCTGGGTCCCCAGTGCCAGGATTGCCAGGGGGCGGGGCCACACCGATCTGACGTCACACCCAAAAAAAAAGGGGAGGGGAGGAAGAAGTGAAAGTGGCCGGTACGGGCATGCGCGAAGGAAGGGAAGCGATCCTAGCCCTGGATCGGCAACCTTTCTGCGGCGCAGCCTTCGCGCAAGCCGAGTCCTTTTTTTTTCCCCGCAGGGCGAGGATGATCGTCCGCCCGGGATCCGTGATCGACCCGGATTGGCACGGCACGGAGGAAGGCAGAGCTTACTCGGGCTCGCTCTTGCGCCGGACGCAGCGCCGAACCTTCGGTGAGGTCGCTGGGCTGAAACCCCCGGGAGATTCCGCGCTTCCCGGGATTCGGGGCAAAGGATCACCTCGCTAGCGAGCCGGTCTTTTCTCTCTCTCTTTTTTCTTTTAAGTTTTTTCTTTTAATTTCTCATAAACACATTTATACGTACATTCATTTATCCATCATTTTTCATTCATCTTATCTTTTAACTTTCATTTTTCTTTTCTTTTTTTTTTATTTCTTTTTGATTTTTTAAACAAACAAAATTAACTTTCATTTTTCATTTTAACTTTTTCGGGACTGCTCTTTTACCTTTTACTTTTACCCCAACCTTTCTTCTTCTTCTCCTCCCCTTCTTTTCCTTTCTCTCTCCTCCTGCTTCCTTCATTCTTCCTCTCCTTCTCTTTCCTACTTGCCCTTCCTTTCCCCCACTCCTCTCTTCTTCCCCACTTCTAACCTTCTCCTCTACTCCACTTTTCCCTTCCTTTTCTTCCTCTCCTTTTCCTTTTCTTCTTTCTCCTCTCCTCTCCTCTTCCTTCCTCTCTCTCCTCCTACTTCCTTTGTTCTTCCTCTCCTTCTCTTTCCTACTTCCCCCACTCCTCCCTTCTTCCCCCCTTCTAGCCTTCTCTTCTGCTCCTGTTTCCCCTCCCTTTTCTTCCTCTCCTTTTCCCTTTCTTCTCCCCTTCTCTTCCTTCCTCTCTCCTCCTACTTTCTTCGTTCTTCCTCTCCTTCTCTTTCCTACTTCCCCTTCCCTTCCCTTCTAGCCTTCTCTTCTGCTCCTCTTTCCCCTCCCTTTCTTCCTCTCCTTTTCCCTTTCTTCTTTCTCCTCTCCTCTCTTCTTCCTTCCTCTCTCTCTACTCCTTCCCTTCTCTCTTGTTTTTTCCCTTTTCAGTTCAATTTAAAGTGGTATTCGAGCAGCCCCGATTTTCTAATTATCTTTATTCTCATTTCAATTTCTTAGTCGATTAATATTTATTTTTATTTCATCATTTGTGTACATTTTTATAATATCTCATTTTCCCCCTTTTAACGCCCCCCCCTTTCTCTTTTTACTTGGCATCATCTGGGTATCTATTTTTCTAATTGCTTTCTCCCATCTGTTCTCTATCTATTTTATCTCTATACCCTTATTCATATTTCCTTTTTAACCAATCATAAATATCTTCCCATGTCTTGAAGTACATCGACTCCTCTTTATCTTTTATTCTCAATGTTAATCTATTCATTTCTGCACATTCTAAAATTTTCTTTATAATGTCTCCTTCCAATGGGATTTTATCTGCTTTCCAATTTTGTGCAAATACAATTCTAGCCGCTGTTAGAGCCGGCCTTCTCAAAGGGGCTTTTCTCTCCCTCTCCCCAGGACTGATCGAGAGGCCGGTGCTGGCTCCACATGCGGCTGCCGACATAGCCGGTTACAAGGTCTTCGTCTCGGGCAAAAGCGGCGTGGGAAAAACCGCTTTGGTGGCCAAGCTGGCCGGTCTGGAGGTGCCCCTGGTGCATCACGAGACCACAGGTGACTCCTGCTTCCTCCTCCTCCTCCTCCTGTCCCCAAGGCAAAGGATGCACCTGTAAGCCTAAAACTCAGGACAGCTGTCCCAGGCTAAAGGAGAAGCAAGGGCAGAGCTCCACAAACTGGATGGGGTGGTGGGGATCCTTCTGCGAGACAGCCCTGAGACCCTCTCCTGAGCCCGGGGAGGGGGGGCTTTTCTAGGAGTCGCCTCCCCGGATGACTCCAGCTGAAGCGACTCTTTCTTTCCCAGGGATTCAGACCAGCCTCGTCTACTGGCCGGCAAAACTGCGAGAGAGCGGCAGAGTGCTCTTTTTCAGATTCTCCTTCTGGGACTGCGGCGAAGCCGTGCTGAGAAAATTTGACCACGTTTTACCCGTGAGAGTCAGTCCTGGGGTGCAGGGATGGGGGAGATGACGATGCCGCTTTGTAGACCCCCCTATTAATTTTCGGAGTTGGGAAAAGCCTTCTTGACTTTTCCTCCGTTCCCCGCAGGCCTGCAGAGAGAAAGCGGACGCCGTCCTCTTCTTGTTCTCCTTCACGGATCGCGCGTCCTTTCTCGACCTCCCTCACCAAATCTCTCGCGTGACGGACGGAGCCAGGGACGTGGTCCGAATGGTTGTGGGCACCAAGTATCCTTTAAAGGGCTTCTCGCCAGACTTGGAAGGGCCCTGGGGGAGGGGTGGGGGCAGCCTGCCTCTTTTTAAGATGGTTTTTCACAATATCTGTCTTTTTCTTTCCTGCAGCCTGTCCTTGATCAAAGAAATAACATAAATAACCCTTCAAACCCCACTAGATTAAAATACAACCATTGCAAGGATTAAGAGGGGTCTGCAACCTTAAACACTCAAAGAGCCATTTAGACCCGTTTCTCACAGAAAAAAAAAACTCCAGGAGCCACAAAACCTGGCTGGGCGTGGTCAACTCCACATCACTCACTCCCTCCTAGTCACATGACCCCCTAGCCATACCTACCCAGCCAGTCATTAGGGCAGAGAACCAGTTGTTAAAAAACACCGGGATCCACAAAACTCTTTTCTCCCTTTCTCCCTTTCCCTTTCTCTATGTCTCTCTCCCCACTCTATCTCCCCCCCTCTATCTTCCCCTCTCTCCCCCTCTCTCTGTATCTCTCTCCCCCTCTTCCTCTCTATCTCCCCCCTCTGTCTCTGTATCTCTCTCTCGGTGTGTATCCATGTCTCTCTCCCCCTCTCCCTCTCTCCCCCACTCTGTCTGTATCTCTCGGATTTCCAAGGCCTGGTGAGGAGTGACTGGGAGGGGAGGGCGAGGGGCGGGACCAGCCAGTGATGGGACAGGGAGCCCCAGCAGAGGGCCCAAAGAGCCACATGCGGTTCCGGAGCCGCGGGTTGCTGACACTCGCCGTAGCCTATTCCAGAGTGGAAGAATTGGCTCAGGCCGAGTATGGGCTCGGAAGGTGCCCTTCTTAGCGCTTGGCGATTCCACTTCCTTGACCAACCGTCTCCAGGTTTGACCAGTTTGCCCACACGGATGTGACGGAATCGGACATGGCGGCTTTCTCCCACACCTGGGGTTTGCCGATCTTGCGGACAAAGAACGTCGGCGAGCAGCCCTCGGATGGATACGCTGGCCTAGCTGAGGTGGCCCGACTCTTGAACAGGCTCGCCGAACATCTCTGGAGGCAGGACCAGGTGGCGGCCGGCCTAGTCTCTGGAGGGGAGAGCCCTGTGGTCCCAGAAGCGCTGGCTCCCTGAAATCCTGATTCTGCCGCATGGGTTTTCTTTCAGCGGAACTCCTTGATAGCTCCTTAATGGCCTTTAAACTCCAATCTTTGCATCAGAATCTTTGTATCTCTGCTTTGCTGGCAGGGAAGCCCCTTGGGCCGAATTCTGGGTTCCCTCGGTGGTAAAAATGCATTAAGGAGGCAGAGGGGACAGAAGGCAGCCTGGGAGGGCAAGGCCTCCACGGATCCAACTTGTGAGCTTCCCAAGAGTTATTTGCAGGTTCGTGACGGATTCTCTTGCCAGGTAAGAGCAAATTGGATCTCACCTACTTGGAAACGACGGTGGCTTCTCTGCCCTGAATTCTCTCCGGCCAACAGATGCCCCAAGAAAAAAAACCCACCTCTTGTCTCAAGTCATCCTAAGCAAGTCAACATTCAACACAGGTGGTTGTTATTTTTTTAAATTGTTTTTACAATTAAACGTTTACATCTTTTAAACCTGAGTTACACTTTTACAGCTTTCCAATACCGGCATTTTTAGTAATATCCAATTGATCTTTCAGCCGACTATATACATACACATTTTGTTTGTTACATACTTATTCATATAATCAATACATTTTATATGCATACCTACTACACGTTAAATGTAACATTTCATTATAATATCTTCTCTTTTGTTATACACCATCCATTAATTTTAGATTCCTTTTCCAGCCAATCATACCATCTGTTCCATGTTTTATAATAAATCGTTTGCTTACAATCCTGCTTACCATCTTTTTGGACTGTTGCCTTCTGGCAGAAGATACAGAACAATTAAAACTCGGACCGCACGTCTTCTGAATAGTTTTTATCCCAGAGCTATAATTGCACTCAACAATGAACTAAAGGGCCACCATCAGTGAGCTGTTGGAGAGTATTATTTAGTCTGTTGTGTGGATGTTTGGATGGTTTTAGGGGTGGGGAATTTGTGGTGGGTGGGAGTGTGTTTGGGGATTGTTATGTGTGTTGGACTTGGTCTTTGGGTGTTAAGCGAATTTCGTTGTATGGGTATACTGTGTATACACGGACAATGACAATGAAGTTTTTTTTTAAAGTTTTTTATTTTTATTGCTCATAAACACATTTACATGTATAGTCATTTCCATTTGGGATAGTTTCTCGGGCTCCTGCCTCAGCAACGAATAAAAACAGCAGATTTGCTTTCTGGCACGTTTCTCAAAAGCGCCAGCGTTAATATTTAATGGTCCTCTTTGAGAGCAGCGCTTCTGGATTGTAGGCTGCGCTCCTCCTCCTGGGGATCGGCCCATCGTCAAATCCGTCTCGCGGGGGGGCTTTGCAGAAGGAAGAAGGAAACAGAATGGCCTCCGATCGATTCAACCAGACGAGAGCTTCGTAAAAGGATCGGTTAAATGTTTAAAAAACACCGACTTCTTTCCCCTTCCTTATCCACTCCCTGCCTACTTTGAGAGCTTCCACAAACATTGTGTGCAGCCTCTCTTACCCCTCTACTTAGAATAGAATAACGAAGTTGGAAGGGACCTTGGAGGTCTTCTAGTCCAACCCCTGCTTAGGTAGGAAACCCTACACCACTTCAGACAAATGGTTATCCAACCTTCTTAAAAACTTCCAGTGTTGGAGCATCCACAACTTCCAGAGGCAAGTTGTTCCACAGATAAATTGTTCTCACTGTCAGGAAATTTCTCCTTAGAACGAAGGAGAAATTTCCTGACAGAACAATTAAATCAGTTAGAACCAGGGGTGAAATCCAGCAGGTTCTAACAGGTTCTGGAGAACCTTTTGAGTAGTTCAGGGAACCGGCAAATCCCACCTCTGGCTGGCCCCAGAGTGGGGTGGGAATGGAGATTTTGCAATATCCTTCCCCCAGAAGTGGGGTGGGAATGGAGATTTTGCAGTATCCTTCCCCTGGAGTGGGGTGGGAAGGGAGATTTTGCAATATCTTTCCCCTGCCATGCCCACCAAGTCACGCCCACAGAACCAGTAGGGAAAAAAATTTGGATTTCACCCCTGGTTAGAACAATTAATCTCCTTGAAACTAATCAAGGAGAGAAGCAATAAGTTGCTTCCCTCCTTGATTAGTTTCCACTCGTTGCTTCTTCTCTATTCTATTCTATTCTATTCTATTCTATTCTATTCTATTCTATTCTATTCTATTCTATCCTATCCTATCCTATCCTATCCTATCCTATCCTATCCTATCCTATCCTATCCTATCCTATCCTATCCTATCCTATCCTATTCCCTTCCTCTTCCTATTTTTATTTCTATTTCTATTCCTATTCCATGTCGTCATTTGGCTGAAAAGGTGAGAATCTGGGCCTTGGTTTCCAAGCCCTCCCCTCATCTTCTCATCACCCCACAATCTTATTAACATCCAAAGGGGATGCGCGTTGCCACATATGACCCTCTGACCGCTCAGAGCGGAAGGGCATTCGGTCTCCTGGGCACAGATACTGGCTGGCCCATTTCTTTGTGATGGCTTCCGGCCTGCTGCTGCTACGCAGCCCCTCCTTCTCCTCCTCCTCCTCCTCCTCGCAGAGCCCCCACACAGAGCCAGCCTGGGAAAGAGAAGCTGGAAAGCAGCAGTAGCTCTAGCCGATTTCCATAGCTACGCAGGAGGCGGCAAGGGGACCAAGGCAGACGGGAAAGAGGGAGGGAGCCTCACAGATGCCCCCCTTTGCCAAGCTAGGCGTCTGTTGTTCTTGGACGCTGGGATAACAACGCCACCGCTTCGCCTCCTCCAGAAAATGCTGCACAGGCGTCTCCACAGCAGCTTCCAGGACCAGGGATGAGCTGAGAATCAAGAGTGGGAGCCCTCTCTCTTCTCGACAACAGCATCTTCCCTGGCTGGGCTCCTCTCCTGGCCTCTCCCCCACTCATGGCCAAGAGCTGACGGGAAGAAGAGAGTAAGTCCCGGTGTTTCCTTCCACTGCCAAACACCATGATCCGCAAGAAAGCCTCGGCTCCGAGTCCCCCCGATGCCAGCCTCCTGCTCAGCGGTGCCAAGGGCTCCTCCGGGGGCCACTTGGGCGATGCCGGAGCCATCCGAAACGGGGCCTCCACCGGCAGCTTCGTAAGTACATGGGTAGAGCGAATTTAGAGTTATTGTTGGGATCCAATGTTGTTTTACAAAAAAAGATCTGTCCTGCTCAGGGATGGCTGTGGGATCTGGTTGTGGTGATGGCGTAAGCGGGCGAAAGCACTCTGCGCACGCTCGGGGTGCCAACTCTAGCATCGATCCCGTTGGAAGTACCCACAAGAGAACAAGGGCTGATTCAAACCCCCAGCAGCGCCTTAAAGCTTGATGGCGGGAGGTCTCTCGTCATGCAAATAAAAAAAAACCAGAAAGTTAAGAGGGTGAGAGTTGTAAGGTTCCATCAGGGAAGGAAGCTGGCTGTTCCCTTACGGGATTGCAATGAATTCGGGACCCTGAACATTATCGAGGTGTCAGTCTTCATGGGTTCTACGTAGAGGAAAAGGGAGAGCACGAGTAACTGCATCCTTGCCTAGGGCAATACATTCTGTGATGCCAAACCACCCTCTGCGATGTGTGGCACAGCCGGTCACCACAAAACGGGACGCTCTGGACCCCTGGTGCAGCACTAGGCAAGCAGTCAAGAGAGAGCAGGGTGGACACACACCGGATTTGTGGTCCGAGCTGATTAAAATCTCTAAAAAATACAGCCTCTAATAGAGGACAGCAGTACCATCCAATGTCCCCTGCTCAGTGGTCATGTTTTCCGAACCCACAGCCTGAGTTGGCTCCAGAGGCTTCCCAGACTCCTTTTCTCTGTCTAGATCTGTATGGTTTCACTTAACCTTCTTCTTGGTAGGATGCGGAAGAAGAGGATACGGTCTACATTTACAACAGAGACGTATATGATTCTTCCAACAGTCCCAGGGGAAATTACTTCAGGGATGGGAAAACGAAGATTGGTGAGCAATACCTTTCTCTGCCCTATATCTCGGTGGCATAAATGGATAGCTCTGGAACGGATCTCGGACGCTGTCCCAACTGAACTCTTGCTTGGTATGAGATTCCAGCAGAGTTAAAGTGTGGGCTGGTTTTGCGTTTTTTTGTTTTGGTTTGTTTGGAAGTTCATCCGGATGATTTGGCCGAAGCAGTATCCTTGATGAAACGGGATTCCTCCCCAAGAGCTCTTTCCCAATGGGGACGCGGTGGCTCAGTGGCTAAGACGCCGAGCTTGTCGATCGAAAGGTTGGCAGTTCAGCGGTTTGAATCCCGAGTGCCGCGTAACAGGGTGAACCCCCGTGACTTGTCCCAGCTTCTGCCAACCTAGCAATTCGAAAGCATGTAAAAAATGCAAGTAGAAAAACAGGGACCACCTTTGGTGGGAAGGGAACAGCGTTCCGTGCGCCTTTGGCGTTGAGTCATGCCGGCCACATGACCACGGAGATGTCTTCGGACAGCGCTGTCTCTTCGGCTTTAAAACGGAGATGAGCACCGCCCCCTAGAGTCAGGAACGACTAGCACATATGTGCGAGGGGAATATCTCCCAAATATCGAAGATAAACTATGCCAAGAACCAGCTTCCAGGGTGAGGGACAGCACTTGGGAAAACTCGGAGCAATTCAACTGCGTGAAAATTCAGAACACTTGCAACTTGTTTTATAATAATAAGGCAGCCTACTATGTATGAAAGCCTTTGGACCAAGGTTCAAAATGCCCATTTGGTTGGCTTGCAGACTTCGTGCTGGTTTGGGAGGAGAAAGCCCATCCCTCAAAGAAAAAGCATGGCAAACAGCTGCACCGTCAGGGAGAGGCAGCAACGGGCTCAAGAGCTGGCTGGGACCAACGCTACGGGCGGCACAAGAGATGGAAGCGGAAATTCCTCAAAAATTTGAGGAACACTGGCCTCTTGATAGAGAAGGTGAGGTCGGGGGTGGGGGCAGCACCTCTGGCCTTGGAAGGCCCCCCCCCATGGGTGGCAGTAATATAGAGAGTGCCATGTTGGCATCAGAGACTGTCTAGGTCGGGGGTCAGCAACCTGTGGCTCTGGAGCCGCATGTGGCTCTTTCACCCCTCTGCTGCAGCTCCCTCTCACTCAAAATATGTGTCACAACTTCCAATGTGCGACACCTGTCGACATGCGATTTATTGAGCTTTTCAACCCCCGGTACGCCAACCCCATGGGCAAATCCAAGAAAAGAAAAGTTTCAGAAGAAAACAGAACGTTTAATTCGACTACATATGCTAGTTTTGTGGCCGCTCAAGAAATAGTCAGGCACGGGAAGGGTTTTGTGGCTCCCGGTGTTTTCTTTTCTGTGGGGAAACGTGTCCAAATGGCTGTTTAGATTGTTTAAGGTTGCAGACACCCTGGTCTAGGCTCAGTTGGCATTGGCGGAAATAACATCCCAATCTGACGTTTCTTTGCATTGAAATGGAATTGACCCAAGTATTTGGCAGAGGGCAGAGCTCCTCTGTCCTCATCACTCAGAAAATTGTTGGCTTTTCATTGGGGTTCCTGGAGTTCTTTCTTGGGTGTTCTCCCCCTCCTTCTCATCTTGACACACTCCCCAACCCAAATGAGTTGCTTTTACAGGAGGAGATCCAGAGCGAACACAAGAGCATCCACTATCTGAAGCTGAGCACCCCCTGGGAGGTGCTGGTGTATTACGCCGAGGAGCTCTGCATGCGAGCACCTCTCCAAGTAAGCCCTTGGCTAATTTTGTGTGTCTGTGTGTTTCAGAGTGCGGTACAGGAACTCCACTTCCTCCCTGTCCTGCCACCTGGGTCCCCTGAGCGCAGGGGTAGGATTGAAAAATTTTAGCATCTGGTTTTCTGCCCAGTTGCTCGGTGGTCATGGCCATGGGGGCGTGGCCTAGTCGGCTTCCTGCACCATGGCAGGGGGGCATTCCCACCCTCCCCAGGCTCCGGAGGCTTTCCTCAAGCCTCCGGGATGGCAAAAACGGCCTCCTCCGGACTCTGGAGGGCCTCCAGAGGCCAGAAACAGGCCCGTTTCCGGACTTCTGGTAGACCTGTTTTTCGCCCTCCCAGAGCTCCCTGCGGGCCCTGCACTTAACTGGCATCCAAAACTGGCCATGTGGAGACTCCTGGGAGGGGAGTGGTGGGTGGGGTCAGCCAGTCCTTGCAACTACCGGTTTGGCGAACCAGATTAAAATTAACATCCGGTTCGTCCGAATCAGTCCGAACCGGCTGAATCCTACCCCAGCTCTTTTCTTCCCAGGCTCACCCCAATCCAGACAGAAATAGTTCCGACCACCTGCTTCGGAAGTTGTGCATCCCCAACGTCATGGATCAGAGGGTGCCTAACAAGCCTGTGGACTACTACACCTGTGCCTTCCGCAAGTCCAAGCTCGACAGGTAAGCAAGGGCAAGGGGTGCAAGGGCACCGGTGCTCTGATGGAGCATCGGCCTGGGTGAAGCGTTCTGGCTCCAAGTTGGCTGCAGCAGCAAAAGAGAGAATTTCCTGGTGCCTGTAGACCAGGGGTATCAAACTCACGGCATCGTGTGACATATTGGGACTTTTTTCCCCTTCACTAAACCAGGCATGAGGGTGGCCAGCGCATGACACATCTGGCCCATGGGCCAGAAGTTTGACAGCCTGCTGTAGACAATCTCCTGGGAAGAGAGATCCCACTTTCCTAGGATTTTCCTCCACCTGACGGGAAGTGGGGTGGATTGCTGGACCAGAGGCGCAGGTTCAGGTCAAGGATGGCAACTGCACCCCACAAAGGCCGGTTCAGCTTTGAAGAACATTCCATGTTGGGTTTGGGCTTGAAATCTGTTGCTCTCTTTTCCAGGTTCCTGGGCAGTGATTTGCACAACTCCTACTTCACCAATACGCAAAGGCATCGCATCGTAAGCTCTCTTAGGGGCTGGGGCAGAAAGCTTTGGAACTGGGGCAGATGAAGCCAATTCAGAGGAAGGAAGGCCCCCCCTTTCTCTGCTGTTTTGGCCATGGGCTCGCTTTCTTGGGGGGATGGCCAAACATTGCCACTGCCACTCCGCTTTCCTTTCCTTTTTTTTCCCCTGAATTTTTATTTTATTTTATTTTGATTCAAACATCATCTTCCATTAAACTGTGTGTCGTCCGGGTACAAATATTTTGTGCAAATATTTTATACAGTAACAATTACAATTTGCAGTCATGTTTATTATTTTATCTAGTCTTAAGACTAATATTAATATATACCTGTGATGGTGAACCTATGGCACGCGTGCTACAGGTGGCATGCGAAGCCATTTCTGCGGGCACACGAACCGTCGCCCTAGATCAGCTCTACCGTGAATGCGCATGTGCCTCCCACTGGCCAGCTGATTTTCGGGTCTCTGCCATGCATGCGGGAGACGCGCGTGCATGCCCATGCTGCCCCTCCCCTCCCGGAGTCTCTACGCAGCCCATTTTGGATACCAGGTAAGTACAGGGCTCGCGCACAGGCTCTGGGAGGGCAAAAAACAGGCCTAATGGAAGTCCGGAAACAGGCCGTTTCTGACCTCCGGAGGGCCAGTGGAGGCCGTTTTCCCCCTCCTGGAGGCACCAGGAAGGCCTCCGGAACCTGTGGAGGGCAAAAAATGGGCCTACCAGAAGTCTGGAAAAGGGCCATTTCCGGCTTCTGGAGGCTTCAGGGAGGCCTGCTAGGCCCAAAACAGGGTGCTGGGCGGGGGGGGGGGGGCAGCACAGAGGGGCGGGGCATGCATGTGGGCCATTGCATTATGGGTGTGGGCACATGCGTGCGTGCTATTGCGCGCACACACTTTTGGCACCCGAGGAAAAAAAGGCTAGCCATCACTGATATATACCATACCTAATACTGTAACAGTCTTCTTATTTAACTTTATTAAAACGTTTTCTCTACTCCTCTGCTTTTTTCCACTTTTCAGATTTATTCTCTAACCATTGATAAAATGATTCCCATGTGTTACAGTGATTGAATTGTTTCTTCTCTTTAATTTCAAGTGTTAACCTATTCATTTCTGCACATTCTCATCCGTAGGGATCTTTTCATTTTTCCAATTTTGTGCAAATACAATCCTAGCTGCAGTTATTACGCGAATTATCAAATATACATTTTCTTTATTGTTAAGTTTCTGATAAATATCCCCAACAAAAATAATTCAGGTTTCAGATCAAAACGCTGTTGTATCATCTCCTCCAACCGCCTACATATTTTTATCCAATATTTTTTGGCTTTTGCGCATGTCCACCGTTTCTTTTCTTTTATCGGCAGTTCTTGTTCTGGCTTTCTGTGTCCCGGTGCATGACCCGTTAATACCACCTGCAGGTGTATGAAATCTTGGCACGGACGATTTACGGGAAACGGAAGCACGCGGAAATAGGCATCGACCGGCTGCTGAACGAAGGAGTCTATTCCGCCGCTTTCCCGCTGCACGAGGTAAGCCTGTCATGGAGGCTTCCCAACCAGAGGTGGGATTCACTTACCTTCCCTACCGGTTCATAAATGTGAGTGTGCATGCTTTGCTCGCACACATCACCTTTGCACATGCGCACGGCCTTCTGTGAATGCTCAGTAGTCGCACATTATATCCGGGCGGGTGGACAGAGCCTCCCGCAGTCGCCGCTACCGGTTTGCGCGATCCGGAGAGAACCGGCTGAATCCCACCAATGTTCCCAACGGGGAGCAGAGCATCAATGCAGAGAGGTTGTGGCTGGAAGGGTTGGGTCAGTGGTGAAATGTAAAATGTGTTACTATTAGTTCTGTGGGTGTGGCTTGGTGGGGGGGTAATGTGACTGGGTGGACGTGGCCAACTTTTTTTTTTTTACTTTACTTTTAAAAGCATTTTTTCAGCCGAAGAGATTGTACAAAAAATGCTTTTAAAAGCCTCTGACGATCCCAACTGAGCCGCCGGATCATCAGAGGCTTTTTTTTTTAACTTTTAAAAGCATTTTTTCTACAACCTCTTCGGCCGAAGAGGTTTTAGAAAAAATGCTTTTAAAAGTTTTTTAAAAAAAGCCTCTGATGATTGCGCGGCTCAGCTGGGCATGGGGGATAGGCAGGGATTTTTGCTACCGGTTCTCCGAACCACCCGCCACCATCGCTGCCAGATCAGTGATCCGGTCCGAACCTGGAGCATTTCACCCCTGGATTGGGTCCATCTCGGCCCAGAGGTCCTGCCTCTTCAGCCCGAGTGCGGTCATCGGTCAACGAAGGGCTCCCCTGTCTTCTTCCTATCTTTTCTCTTTTGTGGTGCTCAAAGGAAAACAACACCTGGCATTTTTGAGCATCCCAAATCAGTCCTTCGCTAACCTTCCTGTAATATCCTTTAAATTTGGTTTTATTTTTTTTTAGGGATAAGTTGTTTGGGTACCGTTCTTCTTACTGGGTTCCATATTCCAGATCTAGCATTTTAAGAGCCCTGCAAAAGTCTTTGAGGATTGACCTCCTTGACTTGTGGATGATGGGTATCCCCTCAATCTCTCTCTGTCTCTCTCTGTCTCTCTCTAGGGCCCCTATGAGCTGCCAGACTACGAGGTGCTAAATGAAGAACTGAACCCCCGGCAGATCCTGTACCGTTTTTGGGCCCGCTGGGCTTGCTGGTACAAATATCAGCCCCTTGACCACATCCGGGAATACTTTGGAGAAAAGGTGGCCATCTACTTCGCCTGGCTGGGTGAGACATTGTTGTGGCTGGCCAGAGGCCAACAGAGCTGGCGGCAGACTCAGACAGTGAGGAGATTGGGGAGGAATGTGGGCCAGTCCTGGAGTCTGGAGAAGGTACTGATGAGTGCTCTGCATCGGAGGCAGAGAGAGGGCCAGGGCCGTCTGACAGTTGTCAGCTACCTTCGGAGTTAGACATCAGTGGGGCAGAAGAACAGCTGGAGCCTGTTCCCAGTGTGCGCATGCGCAGAGCTGCCAGGAGAAGGGAACAGCTTAACCCTTGTTCCTTAACAAGGGTCGACTCAAGAGTAAAGCCACAGGTGGACAGTGAATGGCCCCTCCCACAGGGAATAAAAGAGGAGCGAAAGGGGAGTGGAGTTTGCAGGAGACAATTAGTTCGCTTAATTGGTTCGTGACTCTCCGAGACTCCTTGCCAAGTTTGGAAGATATCGGCCTGGCAGGTCTCGAAGCCAGATAAGGTCTGTGATTGTATAATTCTCCCTTGAAAGACTTTCCTGGATGTGAATGAGAGGAATTCACAGTAACTTAATAAAAAGATTTTTTTATCGGGACAAGGAGTCTGCTCCGTGCTCTTGGGAAGCCTCGGTCAGAATAGACACATCCATAGGACTGGGGGTGGGGTGGGCCGGAGGTCTTGCTTCCTTTGCCCAATCTAACCTCTCCCCCTCCTCCTCTTTCAGAGCATAAAACATAGATCAGGCTTTGAGCAAACTCAAAGACTATCAAGTATCTTGCACAGACCCTTAGCAAAGTCAGATGTATTGGCACAACTCGCCTTTCATGGACCCATTGATTCGCTTTAACCTTTCTTTAATCCATACGCAGATCACATTGTGGTATTGGGCAATCTCCGCTCATATTTAAATTATGGCTTAATCTACTGTGAGACCCCTGAAGCCGTTTCATGCCAAAAGCAAATTAAACATACGTGTGAACCGAAGTGGCAAGCTTGTCGTGATCTCAAGTGTCTGAGCCTGGCCCGAACGAAGCTGTACCTGTGCTATATGATTTACCATCTCTGACAGATTACCATATTTTTCGGAGTATAAAACGCACTTTTTTCCCTCCTAAAAGAGGCTGAAAATTTGGGTGCATCTTATACTCCGAATGTAGCTTTTTCAACACTATTTTTCAGGCCTAACAAGGCGCTAGTGATCTTCCGGGCTTTGCCTGCTCCCTCCGACACTCAGCTGTTCTTTAGAAGCTTTTTTTCAGTGAAGTGATCCAGGCTTTGCCTGCTCCCTCCAACTCTCAGCTGTGAAGCTTTTTTTCAGCCCTAACGAGGTGCTAGCGAGTGAAGCGATCTCCGTGGTTTGCCTGCTTTTCTCATTACTTCTCACCAAAGATCAGTTGTGCTTTAGAAGCTGTTTTTTTTATCCCCAAGCAGGGGATAAAAACCAGCAAACTAATGTGCTGAAGCTGAGCAGACTAAGGACACTAACCAGATGAATACCTGGTAGGCAGATTTTTTCCGCCTATTTTCCTCTCCACTAAGCTGCGTCTTATACTCCGGTGCATCTTATACTCCAAAAAATACGGTACCTTCTCTAGGTGTGGGGAAAGGGCACGGGGGCCTCTTCCTGACCCCATTGTCTTCTTTGCAGGCTTCTACACAGCCTGGCTGATCCCATCCGCAGCCATTGGCAGCTTTGTGTTCCTCGCTGGCCTCTTCACCATGGACATGAATGTGCCGGTGTGAGTGTAGAAGGACGCTGGTGGGAAGGTGGGGAAGAGAGAGACATGGCTGCCTGGGGTGGACATCCAAGAGTCGCACCTTTCTCCTCCGAGTTGTTTAATTCCTTTTCCAAAACGAGCACTTATTTACCGAATTGACAGAGCACCATTGTGTTCACTGAAAGTAGCGGTTGATGAGGCTCTTCCTAAGAGAAATAGGCCACTTCCCTCAAGCCTGCCCTTACGCATGGGCACAGCCCTTTCATGCCCAGGGGCAGTGGTGAAATTCAAATTTTTTTTACTACTGGTTCTGTGGATGTGGCTTGGTGGGCATAGCAGGGGAAGGATGCTGCAAAATCTCCGTTCACACCACACTCCAGGGGAAGGATACTGCAAAATCCCCATTCCCACTCCACTCCAGGAGAAGGATACTGCAAAATCCCAATTCCCGACCCACTCCAGGGGAAGGATACTGCAAAATCCCCATTCCCTCCCCACTTTGGGGCCAGTCAAAGGTGGGATTTGCCAGTTTTACGAACTGCTCAAAATTTCCACTACCGGTTTTCCAGAACCTGTCAGAACCTGCTGGATTTCACCCCTGCCCAGAGGGCATCTCCATCTCTGAGGTGGGAGACGGAGGCTCTTCCTACTCCTTCTAACTGACTTGGCCCCATCTACTATCACACAGCATCCAGGTTGAAGGGCAGTCTACCTCGGAGCAACCAGGGCATCAATAGGGGCTGTTGGAGTCCTCCTGGAGGTCTCCTTAACAACAGAATCCCCTTAAGTTGAGGGGAGGCGAGGCTCTGGCACTCCGCAGAAGCCGTTTCCCCCAAAGGCTTTGTCAACCGTTCCAACTCAGTCGTCTAGCAAGGATGGCCATTTGTTTTTGCCAAGAGTATACTTTACTGAGGTCTTCCCGCACAAACAGGGACGCGGTGGCTCAGGGGCTAAGACGCTGAGCTTGTCAATTGAAAGGTCAGCAGTTCAGTGGTTCGAATCCCTAGCGCTGCGTCACGGGGTGAGCTCCCATGACTTGTCCCAGCTCCAGCCAACCTAGCAGTTCGAAAGCACGTAAAAAAAAAAAATGCAAGTAGAAAAATAGGGACCACCATTGGTGGGAAGGTAACAGCGTTCCGTGCGCCTTTGACGTTGAGTCATGCCGGCCACATGACCACGGAGACATCTTCGGACAGTGCTGGCTCTTTGACTTTGAAACGGAGATGAGGACTCCCCTAGAATCGGGCACGACTAGCATATATGTGCAAGGGGAACCTTTACCTCCCACATTTTTCTTTTCACCTCCCCCCCTCGGCCATCCCCCATTATCTGTAAATGTCCAATTAGGCGCTTGTATCTTGTTTAGGAAACAGGTTCACAGTTCCCAGCTCTGTATACCGATGGCTGGCACTATTCACATGGTTCAGCTGAGCTTCCATTTCCCCTCCCCTTCTTCCTACTTACTTTCCAATCTTTCTCTCCCCCTCCTCCGCCGTTGCTAATGTCAGGATGTCAGCTCATGAAACTTGGATCGGCGAAATGCAAGCATGACACCTCTTCTCTTTTCCACCTCTTTTCCAGGAAAGAGATCTGCAACAGTGGGGGGGAATTCCTCATGTGCCCTCTGTGCGATACTTGTGGCAACTGGAATATCTCCGAGATCTGCCCCATGGCAAAGGCAAGGGGGCTTCCCTCACCTTCGGGGGGTGGGGCGGTGCATAGCAATAGTACTTAAGACTTATATACACTTCACAGTGCTTTACAGCCCTCTCTAAGCAGTTTACAGAATCAGCCTATTGCCCCCAACAATCCGGGTCCTCATTTTACCGTCCTCGGAAGGATGGAAGTCTGAATTTTAGACTGAGATTTGAAGTGCGAAATTGCAGGCAGCCAGCAGGCTGCAGATGTAGCCTACAGTACTGCACTCTAACCACTGTGCCATTGTGGCGCATAGCTGAGGGGGAACAGGGCTCTCTTGTCACCTCAACAGTTGGAGGGGACATTTTTCTTAAGGAGGGCAAGGGAGAAGATCTAAGATCCACTGGCTCCCAAGACGGACACACATTAGCAGTTTTGAGTTCCACCTTGGAGAGGCAAAGGGTACAGGCGATCCGGCTCCTCCATGTGTAAAATAGGAACAATTGCCGAACTAAATCACCAGCTTGCTTATATATATTTTTTTCATTCCTCATATATTTGCTCAGTATCCCAAAAGATGACAGTTCTATCGTAGGGAACCACTGGAATCATAATAATAATAACTTTATTATTATTGTAATAATTGTATGGGTATATTCACAGTATACCCATACAGCGAAATTCACTTAACACCCAAAGTCCAGGTCCAACACACATACCGTGTTTTCCCGAAAATAAGACCCTGTCTTATATTTTTTTGAACCTTGAAATAAACACTTGGCCTTAGTGCCTTGTGCTCAAAAGCCCGATTGGGCTTATTATCAGGGGATGTCTTATTTTGGGGGAAACAGGGTAACAATCTCCAAACACACCCCAACCCACCACAAATTCATGAGGGCAAACCCAAAAAATCATGGGGGCAAACCCAGTATCCAAAGTCCTAAACCTGGAATTATTCGCTCTTATTTATTAGACTCGGGAATTAGATGCTTTTTTGGTGACTCCTGGGATTGTGGTGAAAAAGCAGGATAGATCCCTCCTAGGCCGAAGTTGCTCATCCCTCTCAGAATCGAAACGAGGGGAGGTAGCCACTTGCAAATCAAATCCTCCAGTCTGGGAGAGTTCTTCCCAATTCTGTTTCTCCATCTCTTCAGGTTGGTTACCTCTTTGACCATCCGGGAACGGTTTTCTTCAGCATCTTCATGTCCTTCTGGGCTGTGACGTTTCTGGAGTACTGGAAACGGAGAAACGCCACTCTGGCTCACCACTGGGACTGCATGGACTTCCAAGAGGAAGAGGCAAGGGCTCTCTTTTCCCACTCTTTTCCCGTCGCTCTGCCCAAGCAAGCCGGCCGTCATTCCTTCCCTTCTCCTGCTGTGCAGGAGAAGCCTCCGTAGAACCCCAATGGAAACCACTTGGAGCCATCACACTGAACGTACACGAGCCCACAATTAATATTAAGAAAATTCCAATTAAGTTTCGCCTTTTATCTTTGGATGGCCAGCAGGCATTTCCAGAGCAGTTTACCAAAGAGAGTTAAGAGGTTGACTCAACCCAAAGAAGCTGTAATTCTGCCCAACTGAACATTGCCTCACTGAAAGGCATCAAATTCTGTTATTGATAACTCCAGTACAAGAGCAGAATAATGCCGGGAAGGATGCCGATCACAAATCAGCTCGTAATAAGACCAAGTGAAAGACACCGTCCTCATCAGGGGTGGGATTCAGCCGGTTCGGATCGGTTCAGGCGAACCGGTAGCTCCGATGATCAGCTGAGAGCACACTAGTTCGCTCCGACAATCAGCTGGGCCTGCCCGTCTGCCCCTGTACTATACCGATCTATATTTCCTTTGTTTGAAGCCCAGCTGATAGGCGCGGCAGAGCAGATTGCCATGCCTCAGCTGTTTTACTCACCGGGGCTGCAGTAAAGGTAAATTTTAGAACTGTTTTCAAATGGACTGAGCATGCGCAGAGTGCGCGCTCAGCAAACCGGTTGTTACACCGGTGGAATCCCACCACTGGTCCTCATGTAACTGGAAGTAGCTCCTATTGAGAGAGTCTGCTTGATGTAAGTGCTTAAGGCACCATGTTACAAAACCGGGAGTTCTAATCCTGTCCTAGGCACAGCTGGCCATCTTGGGCCGGTCACTCTCTCTCAGCCCTAGGAAGCAGGCAAGGACAAGCCACCTCCGAAATCTTGCCAAGAAAACTGTAGGCAACTTTCCAGGCCAGGAATCAGCCCCGAGTTGAAGGCACAAAAACAAAAAACTAAACCTCCCATTGTGTTTACACAAAGGTTACTCCCTTGTTCATTCCCACCCTGATTTTTTTTTCCTTTCCTCTCCCACTCTCTCTCTCTCTCTCTCACCTGCTCCTAGGAACGTCCTCGCCCAGAGTTTGCTGCTATGGCCCCGTGCCTGGAACAGAACCCCATCACCGGACTGAAGGAGCCCCATTTCCCCGAGCACGACCGACTATCACGAATCTTGACCGGATCCATGGCTATTGTTATCATGGTGAGAGCAGGAGTGGGCTGCTACGGGTTTGCCTGGGTTCAGGAGAACCCGTAGCTAATGTTATGGATGGTTCAGAGAACCTCCAAATCCCACCCCTGGCTGGCCCCGCCCACCCTGCACCTCCCAGGAGTCTCCACACGGCCCATTTTGGATGCAAGGTAAGTACAGGGCCACACAGAGGCTCGGGGAGGGGGAAAAACAGGCCTCCCAGAAGTTCTGGAATGCCGGAAACAGGCCCACTTCTGATCTCCGGAGCCCAGGGGAGGCAGTTTTCACCCTCCCAGCGGCTCGAAGAAAGCCTCTGGAGCCTGGGGAAGGCAAGAATGCCCCCCCTACCATGGTGCAGGAAGCCGACTAGGCCACACCCACCATGGCCACACCCGCCCATCAACCAGGCAGAGAACCCATTGCGGAAATTTTTGAAGCCCACCCCTGGGTGAGAGGCTATTGCCATCAAGGTGTGGGGAGACGAGAGAGTGATCCCTGACCCAAATCCCTGATGTTCCTCTCGTGTCTTGGCTCCTCCTCTTCCTCCATAGCTCTGTGTAGTGATGATCTTTTTGGTGTCGGTGATCATGTACCGTGGGATTGTCAGCACCGCAATGTACCACACCGGGAACCGAGTTCTGATGACGCAGGTGAGGGCTGCTTGGACTCCTCCTCCCTCAATGATTCCTTTGTGCTTCCCCAGAGATATTCCATATCGTCCTTTCTCCAGATTTAGGATTTCACAAGAGATTCACAGAATTATGGGCAGTTCCTCTTTTCGTTTGCACAGCGGGGAAAAAGCGTCTGTGAAGGCAGAACTTGATTTTAAATTATCCACAGTCCAGTTTGCTAATACTGTAATACAAGGAACCCATAAGACAACAATAGCAGTCATATAAAGAGAGGCTTTTAACCTGCCTTCCGGACTTCTGGTTGGTAGCCATAAATTATGGTGATCTGAAATTACTTTCTGTGTAAATATTATCTTGAAAGCCTCTGGGCTCTTGTGTGCTTTAAGGTCAGCTATTTGATTATTGCTCTCTAGAATTTCTAGATAGGTTCGAATCCCGAGTGCCACGTAAGGGGGTGAGCTCCTGTTACTTGTCCCAGCTTCTGCCAACCTAGCAGTTCAAAAGCACATTTAAAAAAAATGCAAGTAGAAAAAATAGGGACCACCTTTGGTGGGAAGGGAACAGCGTTCCGTGCACCTTTGGCGTTGAGTCATGCCGGCCACAAGACCACGGAGACGTCTTCGGACAGCGCTGGCTCTTCGGTTTTGAAACGGAGATAAGCACCGGCCCCTAGAGTCAGGAACGACTAGCATATACGTACGAGGGGAACCTTTACCTTTAGAATTTCTTGCTGGGGTACCCTGAAAGTTCAGGAAAGTTCAGAGCAAAATGAGGTCCCCTCTGGGAGGAGAGCTGTTGAGGGAAGAGAAATCGGGGTGACATGGGGCCTCTTTCCCCCTCTTCCTGCAGGCAGGTAACATTGCGAATATCAGCAGCTCCATGGTGAACTTGGTGCTCATTCTTCTCATGAGCCAGGTCTACACCTCCTTGGCCGATAAACTTACCAGATGGGGTGAGTGGAAGTTCTTACCACAGGTGCAGAGGTGTTATTCAACTGGTTCTGACCAGTTCTGGAGAACCGGTATCGGAAATTTTGAGTGGTTCGGAGAACTGGCAAATATCACCTCTGATTGGCCCTGCCCCCATCTATTCACTGCCTCCCGAGGCCCAGCTGATCGGGAGGAAATGGAAATTTTGCAGTAACCTTCCCCTGGAGTGGGGTGGGAATGAGGATTTTGCAGTATCCTTTCCCTGGAGTGAGGAGGGAATGGGGATTTTGCAGTAACCTTCCCCTGGAGTGGGAATGGGGATTTTGCAGTATCTTTCCCTTGGAGTGGGGAGGGAATGGGGATTTTGCAGTATCCTTCCCCTGGAGTGGGGAGGGAATGGGGATTTTGCAGTATCCTTCCCCTGGAGTGGGGAGGGAATGGGGATTTTGCAGTATCCTTCCCCTGGAGTGGGGAGGAAATGGGGATTTTGCAGTATCCTTCCCTTGGAGTGGGGGGGGGAATGGAGAATTTACAGTATCCTTCCTCTGCCACGCCCACCAAGCCACACCCACCAAGCCACACCACGCCCACCAAGCCACACCCACAGAACGGTGGTAAAAAAAAATTTAATCCCACCACTGCACAGGTAATCCATTAGCCCACAGGATGTTTTGCTTTTATGAAACTCAAAAACTTTCTTTCACATCATTTGGGAAATTGTGGGGGGACGGAGGACACCACATTTCACAGAATTGGAACTTTTACCGCTGATTCTCGGACTTTCCTCTTGCTGAAAAAGGAACCTGATCAGAACTCCGGCTGGTTCTGTTGGCATCTACTGACCCCGACTGTCTTCATCCATCTCTCTTGCTTCCCCACCCCTTGCAGAAATGCACCGGACTCAAACCCAGCACGAGGATGCCTTCACCTTCAAAGTTTTCATTTTCCAGTTTGTGAACTTCTATTCGTCTCCTTTCTATGTGGCTTTCTTCAAAGGCAGGTAGGGGAACGCGGTGAAAAGGTTTCCGCTCGGAGGTAGGGATGGAAGGGGGCTCCTCGGAGGGGGGTCCTAGCGCAATCTGGCCCTTCTCACAAATCTAGGGCAGCGGTCAGCCACCTGCAGCTCTGGAGCCGCATGTGGCTCTTTCACCCCTCTGCTGCGGCTCCCTGACACTCAAAATATGTGTCACAACCGCCAATGTGCGACACCCGCCGGCATTATTGAGCTTTTCAATCTCCCGGTAGGCCAACCATGGATAAATCCAAGAAAAGAAAAGTTTCAGAAGAAAACACAACGTTTAATTCAACTGCATATGCTAGTTTTGTGGCCGCTAAAGAAATAGTCAGGCACGGGAAAGGTTTTGTGGCTCCCGGTGTTTTCTTTTCTGTGGGAAACGGGTCCAACTGGCTCTTTGAGTGTTTAAGGTTGCAGACCACTGATCTTGGGAGTTGCAGATTTGAGGAGCCTCTGAGTTGAGCTGGGGCTTCCCTGTCTTTTCAGCCTGCACTCTCAAGTCTTCCTCAAACCTTATTAGCCAAATCTGGATCTCTCCCTGTCAAAAGTCTGTGCTGGCCCAGAGTTGGGTTCATAACGCAAACACACAAGCAAGAATTGGGCTTCCTATCCTCAGGGCTGGACCTGCCCATCCTCGGATGACTTTCCGTTCTTTTCAATCCCTTCCATTTTTCCCAGCAGGTTTGTGGGCTACCCTGGTCAATACGGACAGCTCCTGGGCATGAGGAACGAAGATGTAAGCACAATGCAGCAGCGGGTCCTTGTGCATGCTGGCATTTCTGAGCACTGATAGCCTCTTCTCAAAAAGATTGCCCAATGGTGGAGGCCACATTCCACCATGCACATCTGCATTTTCTTTTGCTGCACGGTCACTACTGAGCAAATGGGTTCGGTCGGTGAATGCAATATTTAATGTTATGCCTATTTAACCAAGGCCACGCAGAATAACAACAGAGTAGAGTAGAGTAGAGTAGAGTAGAGTAGAGTAGAGTAGAGTAGAGTAGAGTAGAGTAGAGTAGAATAGAGTAGAATAGAGTAGAACAGAGTAGAGTAGAATAGAGTAGAATACAACAGAGCAGAGTAGAGTAGAGTAAAGTAGAGTAGAACAGAGTAGAACAGAGTAGAACAGAGTAGAATAGAGAAGAGTAGAGTAGAGTAGAAGAGAGTAGAAGAGAATAGAATAGAATAGAGTAGAGTAGAGTAGAGTAGAGTAGAGTAGAGTAGAGTAGAACAGAGTGGAGTGGAATAGAATAGAATAGAATAGAATAGAATAGAATAGAATAGAATAGAATAGAATAGAGTAGAACAGAGTAGAACAGAGTAGAACAGACAAGAATAGAGTAGAGTAGAGTAGAACAGAGTAGAGTAGAACAGAGTAGAATAGAAAAGAGTAGAGCAGAGTAGAAGAGAGTAGAGTAGAATAGAATAGAGTAGAACAGAGTAGAGTAGAGTAGAACAGAGTAGAGTGGAGTGAATAGAATAGAATAGAATAGAGTAGAACAGAGTAGAGTAGAGTAGAACAGAGTAGAGTAGAATAGAATAGAGTAGAACAGAGTAGAGTAGAACAGAGTAGAGTAGAACAGAGTAGAGTAAAGTAGAACAGAGTAGAGTAGAACAGAGTAAACAGAGTAGAGTAGAGTAGAGTAGAGTAGAATAGAACATAGTAGAATAGAATAGAGTAGAACAGAGTAGAACAGAGTAGAGTAGAGTAGAATAGAATAGAGGAGAACAGAGTAGAATAGAGTAGACCAGAGTAAAGTAGAACAGAGTAGAGTAGAGTAGAACAGAATAGAATAGAATAGAACAGAACAGAAAAGAACAGAATAACAGAACAGAACAGAATAACAGAATTGGAAGGGACCTTGGAGGTCTTATAGTCCAACCCCCTGCTCAGGCAGGAAATCCTATAGCATTTCAGACAAATGGTTATCCAACATCTTCTTAAAAACTTCCAGGGTTGGAGCATTTACAATTACAACAGTAGAGTGAGCAGCAAGTGTCTTTTTAAGATTCGTGCCTTATTATTCATCGTGGCCCAAAGTGACAGCTTGTAAACCAGCGCCTGGAGTTTTCTAGGCCGTCTTGAGGCTCCAGTAACGGTTGTCCTCGATCTAAAGAGATGACGTACATCTATGTCCCCCACTCTCACCCTGCAGTGCGGTCCCGGCGGATGCCTCATTGAATTGGCCCAGCAGCTGTTCATCATCATGGTTGGGAAGCAGATCGTCAGCAACATCCAGGAATTCTTCGTTCCGTGAGTTGCTTTCTTGGGAAACGGGGTGAGAAAAACGGTTTGGTGAAAGGAGTGCCAGGACCCGAGGGGGACAGTCAATCTGAAGTATTCCATTTCTTTTTTCCTGCAGAAAGCTGAAGGCTTGGCACCAGAAAAGGAAGCTGGCCAAGGTGCGAGGGGGACAGATCTGCCAGGAGCCCAAACGGTGGGAGGAAGACTACGAACTGATCGAATGCGAAGGCCTCTTCGAGGAGTACCTGGAGATGGGTGAGCAGGACGGGAGAACAGGATTCAGCTCCTTTGGAACACAGAGGAGCAAAAAGGAGTTTGGGGGTCTAGATTCAGCCCATCCCTTGGTCCAGTGAGACTTGGAGATCCTTTCTACAAGTGGCTGTCCAAAGATCGACAGCTACAATGATTTAGTGGTGGGCAGCAGACTTGTCCGCCCTCCCAACTTCCAAAAGATAACCTTTCAGCAAAGCGAATCCAAATGATATTGGATGCTCCCACTTTCGTTAGACTTAAGATGTTTAGGATAACTGAATTCCTCCAGTTCTTCTGAAAGTTTGGTCATCCAAACAGCCTTTGATTTTTTCCACTAGAACAGGGGTCAGCAACCCACAGCTCTGGAGCCGCATGTGGCTCTTTCATCCCTCTGCTGCAGCTCCCTGTCACTGGTCAGCGCCACAATTTTGAGAGGAACTTCCGGTTGCCGGTGGGGAGGGGGAAGCATGGTGTGCCAGGAGGAGACTCTATGGCAATGGATGGGTTTTCCAGTCAGCTCCACAATTGATAGGGCTTTTGGTTAGGACAGGTAGAGGAAAAAGGACACCGCACTAGGAGGAGACTCTATGGTGGGAGAACCGGATTTCCAGTCGGCTCCAGAATTGAACGGGGAGCTTCCGGTTAGGACCTTTGTGACTCTTTGAGGGTTTAAGGTTGCCGAGCCTTGCACCAGAATGACACGCAGAGCAGTGGTGGGATTCAAAAATTTTTACTACTGGTTCTGTGGGCGTGCCTTGGCGGGCATGACATGGCTTGGTGGGCATGGAAGGGGAAGGATACTGTAAAATCTCCATTCCCACCCCACTCCAGGGGGAGGATACTGCAAAATCCCCATTTCCTCCCGATCAGCTGGGACTCGGGAGGCAGAGAATAGATGGGGGCCAGTCAGAATTGTTACTACCGGTTCTCCGAACTACTCAACATTTCCGCTACCGGTTCTCCAGAACTGGTCAGAACCTGCTGAAACCCACCTCTGATGCAGAAGTAAGGAAGGGCCACCCAAAGGAACGTCTTGTCAGTCTTAAGAGACACAAGCCTTGCTCCTCTGGTCACTCCGAGGATTGTTTAGGATTCTGTAAAACAGTGACACTAAATATGGCCTCTTCTTTCTTCCTCTTCTTTCTTAGTGCTCCAGTTTGGCTTCATCACCATTTTTGTAGCGGCTTTCCCACTGGCCCCTCTCTTCGCCCTGCTCAATAACTGGGTCGAAATCCGTCTGGACGCCCAGAAATTTGTCTGCGAGTACCGCCGACCAGTGGCTGAGCGAGCCCAGGACATCAGCGTTTGGTTCTTCCTCCTTGAGGTCTTGGCCCAAATCTCCGTCGTTGTCAATGTGAGTCTGGAAGAAACGGCGGAGATCCTCAAGCTGTTCCCCACTGACTGGTGGCTTCCAAGATCCCTTTCCTGGGGGGAAAGTGGAGGTCCGCACCTTCTCCAGAGCTATGAGTTAAAGAGCAGAAAACCTCCCCCTCCTGATGACGGTCACTCTTGCCTGTTTGCCCCCAGGCCTTTCTCATCGCCTTCACCTCGGACTTCCTGCCACGGCTCCTCTACCAATATGAGTATGACAGCCACCTCCACGGCTACGTGAACTTCACCTTGGCTTACTCCCCACCCGCTTACGTGCACAGCAACCATACCATGTGCAGGTGAGCGGAGGGTCTCCATCGCCAGCAAACATGGTTAAGTGTTCTGACCTAGGTTTCCTGAGTCAGTAAAACACACGAGTGGTCCCAAAAACCTGTTTTATTTTAACAGCTGTGAATTCTGTTCATTCACTATCCCAAATAGTTGTAAAGAGTCCTTCGGGATAAGGCTCATCATCACCCACCTTTATCTCCCTTGACACGCTGCCAAAGACCTAATTGGCAAAGCTACACGGAGTCCAGAATCAAACAGAGCTTCAGACTTTAAACTGCACAGAATTAACAATGTTGCTTCCTGCAAAGGCCAACGTGCCTTTGCTCCTCTTTTAAATCTTATGGGAGGGGTCAATCATCTCCTAGCCCTACTCCCGAATCTTCCCTTTTGTTTTAACTGTTCTTGCCTTCTGGCAGCTCTGCACATGGGCACACTGGGAACAGGCTCCCTGTTCCTCTGCCTCTCTGAGGTCCGACTTTGGAGGCTCCGGAAACAGCACGTACCTCCCTGATGGCCCTTTCTCTGCCTCCGATGCAGAGCCCTTGTCCAAGCCTTCGCCAGACTCCAGGACTGGCCCATGTTCCTTCCCAGTCTCCTCACTGTCCCACTCTGCTGCCAGCTCCACAGGCTGCTGGCAGACCACAACATTAGGCCTCCCCCACCCCATGATACTGATCTGCCATGGCTCATTCACAGGTACAAAGCCTTCCGCGATGCTCAAGGGAACTACACCCTCTTTTATTGGAAACTTCTGGCCATTCGCCTGGGCTTCATCATCGCCTTTGAGGTGAGTCCTTTTTATGAAAAGAGTTTGAGTAGAGAATTACGACCATGTTTCCCCGAAAATAAGTCCTGTCCCAAAAAATAAGTCCTATCATGTTTTATGCACGTGCACCCAAAATAAGCCCTACCCCCCAAAATAAGCCCTACTTAAGTGCCTGTGCAGGCACCCAGTATTCTGTCTGGTTGCTCATGGTGGCACTTACTCTGCCTCCGATGTACGAGGGGAGGGGAGGGGAGGCAGGGGTGAAATCTAAAATGTGTTACTACCGGTTCTGTGGGCGTGGCTTGGTAGGGGGGTAATGTGACTGGGTGGGCGTGGCCATTTTTTTTTTTTTTTACTTTTAAAACCATTTTTTCTACAACCTCTTTGGCTAAGAGGTTGTAAAAAAATGTTTTCAAAGGGCTCTGAGGATCCAAGCTGAATTACCTGATCAGCTCAGGCTTTTTTAAAAAGCCTCTGCCGATCAGGGAACTCAGCTGGGATCGTCAGAGAATTTAAAGGAAAGAAAAATCCTTGTTTTCTTTTAAATGCTCTGACGATCCAAGCTGAGTTCCCTGACTGCAATTTGGCAGTTCAGATCTCACCAGGCTCAAGGTTGACTCAGCCTTCCATCCTACCGAGGTGGGTAAAATGAGGACCCAGACTGTTGGGGGCAAGAGGCTGACTCTGTAAAACCGCTTAAAGAGGGCTGCGAAGCATTGTGAAGCGGTATATAAATCTAAGTGCTATTGCTATCTTCCTTCCTTCCTTCCTTCCTTCCTTCCTTCCTTCCTTCCTTCCTTCCCTCCCTCCCTCCCAGTGGTGAGCATACAGTATTGCAGGCTAACTCTGCCCACTGCAAAGAGTTCAATCCTGACCGACTCAAGGTTGACTCAACCTTCCATTCTTCTGAGGTCGGTAAAATGAGGACCCAGATTGTTGGGGGCAAGAGGCTGACTCTGTAAACCGCTTAGAGAGGGGCTGTAAAGCACTGTAAAGTGGTATATAAGTCTAAGTGCTATTGCTATTGCCATAATTCTGGGATGGGCGGCTCCTCTGGGCCCTCCTCCCTCCTTCTTTTTCCAGCATGTCGTCTTCTTCTGCTTGCGCCTGATTGATTGGCTGGTGCCAGACATCCCCGAATCCCTGGAAGTCAAGATCAAGAGGGAGCGTTACCTAGCCAAGCAGGCACTGGCTGACAACCAGGAAGCACTGTTGACGACGGTGAGTGACGACTCTTCTCCCACCCCAGGTCAGTCCACGAGTGCGGCACAAAGCACAAAGCACGTGTGTATCCGTGTGTGTCTGTATGTATTGCTCCAGTGCCAAGAGATGGGTTCAGAAGAGGGAGAGGCAGTGGTGGGTTTCTACTGGTTCGCCCCGGTTCAGGCGAACCGATAGTGGCGGCAGTGGGAGGCTCTCTCACTCGCCCGGACATCATCACAGAACCTCTGCGCATGCGCAGAAGCGCCGCACGCAAGCAAAGCGAGCGAGCATACGCGCACGCTACTGCTTCCGAACCAGTACTGAAGTTAAGAGGATCCCACTACTGGGGAGAGGGATGGACCCTTCCCCAGAACCAGCGCCACTTGGGCTTCCACGTTTAACAAAGGGCCGTGCGTCGCACTCTGGGCAAATCCAGATTTCCAGCCGAGAAACTCAGGCAGACTTTTAGCCCCCCTCCCCAATCTCTCTGAATCTGTGCCTCTCTATTCACCGCTCACTGCAAGTTGAGCTACTGTAGTGTGGTGGTGTGATCGCCCTCTGTGTCGTGGTGCAGTCTGTAGTGTGACGCTTGTGCCATCTGTGCTTTCTGTACGGCAAGATTGTCAGAAGGTGGCCCCCGCAGTGAGGTCTTCTTGGCTGCAAGGGCGACTCGGCTCCAGAATCGTAGGCGTGGTGGGGTGGGGGAGGGGTGTGTCTTTCTTTCCACTGGAGGTATTGAAATATGGAACCAGTAGGGGGGAAAAAACTGGATTTCACTCCTCTGAGGCTCGTTTAGCTGAGGATGCAGTCCTGAGGCTGTCTAAATCAGGAGTCTCCAATCTTGGCAACTTTAAGCCTTAGCGGACTTCAACGCCCAGAATTCCCCAGCCAGCTTTCTGGCGGACTTCAACGCCCAGAATTCCCCAGCCAGCTTTCTGGCGGACTTCAATGCCCAGAATTTCCCAGCCAGCTTTCTGGCGGACTTCAACGCCCAGAATTCTGGGAGTTGAAGTCCACCAGGCTTAAAGTTGCCAAGGTTGGAGACCCCGGTGTAGATAACAGAAAAGAAAACAAGTTCGGAGGTCACACAGAGAGAGCTTCCTGATCTGCTGATCTGACCCGGCCCCCGATCATTTTCACAACTTATTGGGTTAAAAAAACCGCTTCTCCCCTTAAATACTCAACTAAAATGACTGCTTTCCTAAGAGCTTGCCCTTTCAATTCCTCGCTGCAAGCCGCTCTGCAGAGCGGTGTTGAGATCTTGGGGAAAAACCGGAGCAAGCTTTTGCTCTCCTAACTCTAAATACGCTCTTCTATTTTATTTCTACTTCTTTCTGTGCAGCAAGCAGCCTCTTATCCAGCAGTGTGAATTAGCAATACCACGAGTGAGGTCGAAGCATGGGCACCCGGGGCATCCACGTTGATCAGGAAGCGTCTTCTCTCGACAGCGTGAACAATGCCAGCGGGGACAGGAGGGAGGCCCTTTCCTGCAACAGTCTTTGGAAGACCCAGAAGATTGGAGTTTTTTCTGTGTTACCTGAGATTGTCTCTCTCTCTCTCCACTTCTCTCTCTCCACTTCTTTCTCCATTTCTTTCTTTCTCTTTCTCCCTCTCCCACTCCCTCCTTTTCCACCTTTATCTCTCTCTCTCCGTCTCTCTCATTCCCTCTCCCCCTCCCTCCGTCTCTCTCTCCCTCTCCCACTCCCTCCCTCTCCACTCTTTCCCTCTCCCATTCGCTCTCTCTCCACTCTTTCCCTCTCTCCCTGTCTCTCTCTCCCTCTCTACTTTTTCTCTCCCACTTCCTCCCTCTCTACTCTTTCCCTCTCTCTCCTTGTCTCTCTCCCTCTCCATTCTCTCCCTCTCACTCTCCCTGTCTCTCCCTCTCCACTCTCTCTCCCTTTCCAACTCCCTCCCTCTCCACTCTTTCCCTCTCTCCCTCTCTCTATCCCTTTCTCTCTCTCTCCCACTCCCTCCCTCTCTATCCCTGTCTCTCTCTCGCCACTTTTTCTGTTTCTCTCTCCCCCTCTCCCTCTCCACTCTTTCCCACTCTCCCTGTTTCTCTCTTTTTCCCTCTCCCTCTCCCTCCCTCTCCTCTCTTTCCCTGTCTCTCTCTCCCTCTCCACTCCCACCTTCTCTCTCCATTTCTCTCTCTCCCTTCCTCCCTCACCCCTCTTCTCTCAGCTTCCCAGGCAAGGGGCTTCGGAGACCACTTCTGGGGCAAACCCACTCAGTCTCTGCTCTGATTCCCTCCAGCCTTGGGCAATCCTGTTGCCAATGGCTTCTTCTCGGCAATTCAGATTTCAACCTATGTCTGCATCTCACCCCTTCCCATCAATACCTAGGCTTGCCTGGAGGGAGGGGAGGGAAACAGTCAAACATTTGAGTCCCCCAAAATGAAACTTCAATCAAACCACCAGAAATCCTGGTGGAAGGCAAGAGACATGGGGGACGGGGACGAGGCTGTGGAATGTGGGAGATGTGGTGCTTTCCTACCTCCCCTTGTCCCACAGCTGTGGCTGATGGCTCGGGGAGTGAAAGCCAACATTCTTTTAGCACGATTACGGTTCAGTCCTAATCCCGTCTTTCTATCTGCCACCACTATTCAGAGTTGCTACTGTACAGCTTGTTATCATCAGGGGGTTTAATAAAGTCTGGAAATGATATGGATTTCTTGTCTCTCTGGGCGGCTGAGGGAGGGGCGGACCTAGGTTCTTTGCTGGTGCCAGGGGTGCTATTCAGCAGGTTCTGACAGGTTCTGGAGAACCGGTAGCGGAAATTTTGAGTAGTTCGGAGAACTGGAAAATACCACTCTGGCTGGGCCCAGAGTGGTGTGGGAATGGGGATTTTGCAATATCCTTCCTCCAGGAGTGGGGTGGGAATAGGGATTTTGCAATATCCTTCCCCTGAAGTGGGGTGAGAATGGGGATTTTGCAGTATCTTTCCCCCAGGAGTGGTGTGGGAATGGGGATTTTGCAATATCCTTCCCCTGGAGTGGGGAGGGGAGGGAGATTTTGCAGTATCCTTCCCCTGGAGTGGGGTGGGAATGGGGATTTTGCAGTATCCTTCCCCTGGAGTGGGGTGGGAATGGAGATTTTGCAGTATCCCCCCAGAAGTGGGGAGGGAATAGGGATTTTGCAATATCCTTCCCCTGGAGTGGGGTGGGAATGGAGATTTTGCAGTAGCCTTCCCCTGCCACACCCACCAAACCACACCCACAGAACCGGTAGTAAAAAAATTTGAATTCCAGCACTGGAGCCTGGTGCCATTCTATAATGAAAATGCTGGCGTCTTTGATATTCCTGCATTGTTCATTTCTATCGGGGGAGGGGGGAGAGAATAGGATAGAAGGCCAATCAAAGGACAAGATTCAGGCCAAAGGAAAACAAAAAAATCTGCAGCTCACTTTCTTTTAAGTGAAAAAAAAAAAGACTCAACTGAGTCACTTCTACAACACAGACCCAAACCGCAAAGCAGTAAGTGGGGTGGAGGGGCAGTGGTGGGATGCTGCCGGTTTAACAACTGGTTCGGCGATCGCACATTTTGCGTGTGGTTGTACAAAAGATTAACCTTCTGTGTTACCGCTTCGAAGTAACGCAACTCAGGCACAGCAATCCGCTCTACCGCGCCTATCAGCTGAGAAGATAAAGGTAAGTAAAGCGCAGGGACGGGCGGAGAGGGGCCGACCTGATCGTCGGAGCGAACCAGTTCGCTCCCAGCTGATTGTCAGAGCTACCGGTTCGCCCGAACTGGTCTGAACCGGTAGAATCCCACCCCTGGGGGGGGGGCTCTTCAGCTGTGGCAGACAGAAGACAGGGAGGGAAGGGGGAGCGCAGGGAATATGGGATTGCAGAGTCATATTGGAACCAGGCCGAACCAGGAGGAACCCACCACTGGGCCAATCATCTTCTGGCCTTACTCTCGAGTCGTCCTTTTTGCTTCAGCTGTTCTTGCCTTCTGGCAGCTCTTCGCATGTGTGCACTAGGAACAGGCTCCTCCTGTTCCTCCGCCTCTCTGCTGTCCACCTCTGGAGGCTCTGGAGGCCGCGCATCACTCCCAGATGGCCCTGGCCCCATCTCTGCCTCCGATGTAGAGCACTCGTCCGGGCCTTCCCCAGACTCCAGGACTGGCCCATGTTCCTCCCCAGCCTCCTCACTGTCTGACTCTGCTGCCAGCTCCGCAGGCTGCTGGCGGAACACAACAGAGGGAGTCAAGGCTGCAGTTGCCAGCTTTTTGTTCCAGTTCTGTTCCTTGGTTGAACAGCCTCCAAAATGTGCAGGAAAAACAAAGTGTTGGGGAAATTAACAACTTCATTGACTGTATCTCAGAGTGAAAGCGAAAGGAAGGAGGGGCGGACTTAAAGAGGCCTTGGGCTTGAAGAGGATGAGGGCCCGGTGAGAAATGGCAGCTAGACAAACATGCTAACAATGGGATGTTAAATTTATATTTTACTGACAAAGAAATAAGGGAAGACTAGTATAGATTTATTTCAAGCTATTTAGCTCTCATCAGCTAGCCATATCCTTCTGGGATTCGAACCTGGGTATGGCTAGCTGAGAAGAGCTAAATAACTTGAAATAGATCTATACCAGTCTCTATTTCTTTGTCAGTAAAATATAAATTTTTAAAAGAGACGCAGTGGCTCAGTGGCTAAGATGCTGAGCTTGTCGATCAGGAGGTTGGCAATTCAGCGGTTCAAATCCCTAGTGCTGCATAACGGAGTGAGCTCCTATTACTTGTCCCAGTTTATGCCAATCTAGCAGTTCGAAAGCACGTAAAAATGCAAGTAGAAAAATAGGGACCATCTTTAGTGGGAAGCTAACTGTGCGCCTTTGACATTGGTCATACCGGCCACATGACCACGGAGTCATCTTTGGACAGCGCTGGCTCTTTGGCTTTGAAACGGAGATGAGCACCGCCCCCTAGAGTCAGGAATAACTAGCACATATGTGCGAGTTATTACCTTTACCTTTACCTTTACCTTTAGTATACAGTAGATCTATTTCAAGCTATTTAGCTTTCATCAGCTAGCCATATCCTTCTGGGATTTGAACCTGGGTATGGCTAGCTGAGGAGAACTAAATAGCTTGAAATAGATGTATACCAGTCTAAACCCTTTATTTCTTTGTCAGTAAAATATAAATTTAACCCAAAACAGATTGTCGTGAAAGCAATAAAAGCCTGCGAAGGCTCCTGGATTGAGGCTGAAAGGGAAGCAATATGCTCCGACCCATATTTGGGTAGACCAGGTTGCCCTGATAGAAAAAAAAACACTTAAGCTAACAGGATGCCCAACAATGACTGAACAGTCGTAGTGGTGGGATTCAAATAATTTAACAACTGGTTCTCTGCCCTAATGACCGGCTGGGTGGGTGTGGCCATGGTGGACATAGCCAGAGGGTATGGCAGTTAGCACTCGGGCTCCTGCACCCCCCTGGGAGCAAAAATGGGCCACAGGGGGCCATGCTGCACCCCCCTTGCCCCAGTTTGGGTTTAGTAGGCCTCCCTGTGGCCTCCTGGGAGTAAAAATGGGCCATGGAGGGGGGCTGTTCTACACACACACCCTGCACCCCGTTTTCGACTCCATAGGCCTCCCTGCCCTTATCTGGGAGCCAAAATGGGGCACGTGGGGAGTCCTGGAAGGGGCAGGGTGGGGTGGGGCCAGCCAGCAATTTAACAAGCGGTTCACCCAAACCAGCTGAATCCCACCACTGCTCCCGTGCCACTCCAAAGCTATCGGTTATTTCCATGCTAGTCCGGAGCGCGTTCGAAGGAAAAAAGTCAGTTTCCTCCCGACACAAGAACCAGTTAGAAGAGGCCACCTTCAGTCCCGTGTACCGCAGAGCTGCCAAGAAACGACGATCTACCTTCGTCGGGAGCTGCTTTTGACTGATTTTGCCAACAAGAACTAGACTTATAAATTGAGGAAGGCGGCCAGACTAGAGCTGCCAAGAATCCCTCCGGCCAATAAAGCTATTTCATTGCAGAGAAAGCTCAGTTGTGAAGCCTTTAGAAAGGCAGCTCTCCAAACTGGAAGACGCAGAGACAGCAGAATTCAAGATGCTGGCATTCCCGAAGTCTCTGCAAGCAGGTACAAAATGATCTTGCAGGCTTGCTTAGAGAAGGACACATTGGCCCTCTGATCTAGGGGACACTGCAGTGGTGGGTTCCTCCCGGTTTGGGCGAGCCGGTAGCGGTGACGATATGACGTCACCAAACCGGTTCTGTTTGTTCGGGTGCTGGGCCCTCCCGCCTGCCCCCGCGTTATTCTTACCTTTTATTTGCCCTCACCCCCAATCTATTCGCTGCCTCCCGAGTCCCAGCTGATTGGCTAGAAGGAAAAAAACTGTTTAAACTCTTGCCGCGGGGCTTCAAAGAGCCGCCCTACAGCTGATCAGTGTTAAAAGGCAGTGTGGTGGTAGACCAGTGCGCTCGAAAAACAAATGGGTAGACCAGTGCCTCCAAAAACAAATGAGTAGACGGGTGCCTCCAAAAATAAATGGATAGACCAATGCCTCCAAAAACAAATGAGTAGACTTGTGCCTCCAAAAACAAATGGGTAGACTGGTGCCTCCAAAAACAAATGGGTAGACCGGTGCCTCCAAAAACAAATGAGTAGACCGGTGCCTCCAAAAACAAATGGGTAGACCGGTACAGCTCTGCAAGCAGTTAAAAGCCTGGTAGACCAGTATCGCTGCTAAATCCTATAGAATTGTCACATGACCATCAAACCACACCCACAAAGTAAGCCATGCCCACAGAACTGGTAGTAAAAAAATTTAGAACCCACCCCTGGGACACTGTCCTCCTGCCCCAAGGGCTCTCCATCTTTTCGATGTCCCTGTCCCCAATTGTGCATCTCCAGAGGAGACCCGCCAGCGTCCACTGGGCACAAACAAATTCCTTCCCATTCTCTAAGTTGGGTAACCCCTTGAGTCTTTTTTTTTTTTTCAAAGACCATGCGCAAGGGTGGGATTCAGCCTATTCGGTCCGGTTCGGGTGAGGCAGTTGCTCCGACGATCAGGTGAGAGCAAACCGATTCGCTCCGACCATCAGCTGGGCCCGTCCGCCTGCCCCTGCACTATACCTACCTTTATTTCGTTCGTTTGAAGCCCAGCTGATAGGAGCTGCAGAGCGGATTGCCGCGCCCCAGCTGTTTTTAGTGCTTTTAACACTGTTTTTAATGGTGTTTTGTAATGGAATGTGTGCGCAAAGCACACGCTCAGTGAACTGGTTGTTACACCAGTTGAATCCCACCACTGTCCACATAGCTCAAGATACTAGTGTGGGCACAGGGGCATTACTGCAGCGGGTGGAGGGAGCAGAGGGGCATTTGATCAGTATAGCAGAGGTGCTGAGATATCAAATGGCAGCTTCCCTCCTTCTGCCTTCCCCTCTCCCCACCACCCCCCAGGGGAAAACTCCTCCAATCTCCCTCCCACAAGGCCTTCGGGGACGGGTGGGTAATTACAGGGCTGAGGATTCAGTGGAGGGAGTTTCACAAAAGGTGCCAAGGAAAAAAATATTAGAAAAAAAGGGATTGGCGGGTTGTGTCTGCCTTGATTTAAGGATTTCCTTTCCTTGCTCTCTCCCAATGATTTGGCAGCCCGGTTTTCACAGATACAAGGGGCCAGTGGTGGCATTCAACTGGTGTAACAACCGGTTCGCTGAGCGCGCGCAATCCATTAGAAAACAGCATTAAAAGCAGTGTTAAAAGCACTAAAAACAGCTGAGGCATGGGCAATCCGCTCTGCCACGCCTATCAGCTGGGCTTCAAATGAACAAAATAAAGGTAGGTATAGCGCAGGGGCGGGTGGGGGGCCCCAGCTGACGGTCGGAGCAAACCGGTTCGCTCTCAGCTGATCTTTGGAGCAACCGGTTCGCCCGGACAGGTCTGAATAGGCTGAATCCCACCCTTGTAAGGGGCGGCGACCACTATTCTGTGTTATCCATCCCTGACGAAACCGAAAACGGGACCTTCTAAACCCTTGTTTTCCCCATCCATTGAAATAAAAGCTAACAAGGGCGACTTTTGCAGTCAGTGGCAGAAGAAGAAATCCCCCGGGGGAGTTTTGTGTTTTGACAACCAAGCCTTTCGAAAGCACAAAACAGCTTCCTTTTCCCCGACGGGAGATGAGGAGCCATCTGTGTGTGTTTGTGTGTGTGTTTGTGTTTTGCTCCCTTTTCTCAGTGTCTCTTTCCAGACTTGACAGCATCTAGCTGTGGAGCACGGAGCTACAAAGTTAGATGTCCTTCTCTGCCCACCACCTGGCTGCCAGGCCTATCGGAGACCCAAGAGGTCGCTAGGAGGTCCCCAGAAATGGCGTCCCAGAAACCGGCCCCTCGAGCTCCCCAGGAGAGCCTGTCCGAGGCCAAGGCACGGCCATGGCTACACCCGGGCACCAGGTATCCTCCAATGCTCACCTGAGCAAGGCTGGGGGTTGTGGGAAGAACCAAGCCATGCAGAACGTGCTTTGCTTAGGCTAGGCATTAACCATCCCCAAGCACTGCTGTCCAATGTTCTTCGGTTTCCCCTTGCTACTCTGGGAAAACGCTGACTTCGGATTAGTTGCCTTAACTCAGGGGGTCGGCAACCCGTGGCTCTGGAGCCGCATGTGGCTCTTTCATCCCTCTGCTGCAGCTCCCTGTCTCCGGTCGGCACCACAATTGATAGGGCTTTCGATTAGGACAGGTAGAGGAAAAAGGATGCTGTGCTAGGAGGAGATTCTATGGTGGGGGAATCGGACTTCCGGTCGGCTCCAGAATTGAACGGGGGGCTTCTGGTTAGGACCTTTGTAGCTCTTTGAGTGTTTAAGGTTGCTGACCCCTGCTTTAACTGATTACATTACATTGCTACATTACTGTTTTAGCAGTGTCACCAGCAAGGCTCCGAAGCAAACTTTCCATAGAAAAAAGCTTTTCAACGGTACTGGTCTCCCTACGTAATTCATCTGTACATCTCTTTGTAAAACAACAACAAGCATTTGGAGAGGCTTTGCATCTTTTACCCAAAGAGAATTCGAGGGCGTTTTGCAAATCTACCAAAAGATAGGACAGAAGGGCAATGAGGACAGCCAACGTCTCCTCAATCTCTTTCTCTCTCTCTCTCTCTTGCTTCTAGAACACTCTGGAGAAGTTCTGGAAAAGGGGCGAAGGAAGCTGACCATCAGCAGAAAGAATCAAAATACAGTACGGAAATGAGCCTTCACCCCGTGGGTTGTCTTTGGGGTGGAAGGAAGGATCTCTAGTCATCAGGGAGCCTTTTCCGCTTCTTCTGTAAAGGAGGACCAGGCTCCCTGCGCAGAGGCAACGTGACAGCAAATGAACGGAGTTACTGAGAAGGATGGCTGGCATTGGTCCCACTGGTTTTGGAGTGCTGGACTGAGCATCTCCCTCTGTCCCACTTTTCCTCTCAGAGCCCCTCTATCAAAACCCTGTGATGAACCGGATGAAGGCGCCGGTGGGTGCTGGCCTCTCTACCGCCGCCCTGCTCTCCTCCTCCTTGCTAGGGGCTGCCTCGCTGTCCCCCCAGCGCGATTACAGCTTCTCCTTCTGGCAAGAGATCCCAGAGGTGAAAAGCCGAGGGCTGCTGGAGGGCCTCCCGTCGCAGCAGCGCCACCTACAGGAGGTACCCGAGAAAGGCGTATCGTGGGGAAAAAGAGGGCACAGGCAGCAGCAGAGGCTTCTGGGAGGGTTGTAGGCAGGAGGCAAAATCTGGACAATTGGGACAACAGATCGGGTTAGCCATTTTGAGGACGGGGGCTGATTTTAAACCATGAGTTAGAGAGATACGCACGATTTTGTTTGTCCAAAAGTTTAACTAGTTAAGGTTTAAAGACTTTTCCACTGGATTGCCAGATGCTTAAGTGACACACGGACATAATTTTGGCTACGTACTCTGACCCAGAAGATTCTCGTTAAGTTACTAGAGAAAAACCCAAAACAAACTTTCCTCGTTGCACGTAGGCAAAGAGTTTACAATACCGCAAATAACTTTGACCTGTGCTGTCTAACGGAATTTACTGCAAAAAGAGAGCAGTGTTTTGGACAAGTTGTGCTTTCCTCTAGGGCAGTGGTGGCGAATCTTTTACTCACTGAGTGCCGAACTGGTACTCGCTTCACGCTTTCCATGCGTGTGTGCTTCCCACGCTAATGCATGGCTTCTCCCCAGTGCATTCCGTGTGCAACCACACCATCTGCGCATGTGTGCAGCTTTCGCATGGCTCCCCTATGTGCTGCATGTGCAATCGCACCATTTGCGCATGCACATGGTTTTCACGCATGTAATGCATATGTGTGAATGCCATCTATGCATGTGTACACTGCACGCAAGTACTCTCACACGCATGCACAAATGTGTGCTCGTGTGCAGGAGAGCTCCGAAGACCAGCTGGGTCCCCTGAATTGCATGCATGCGCACCAGAGGCCTGAACACAACTGGAGAGCACGCACATATGCAGCTGCAGGTGAGTTGGGCGACAGCTCGCGTGCCCAGAAAGATGGCTCTGCATGCCACCTCGGACACGCATGCCATAAGTTCGCTATCACGGCTCTAGGGAATACAATCTCTCCCTGCAATCTTGATTTGACAGGCACCGTAGGTATGATCCCTGGGTTTGGCAAAATTTGTTTCTGCTCCCAGCAACCCAACTGCTTTTGTCTCTCTCTGGCAGGCCATGTTCGAGGTGATCACTTCCGAGGCCTCCTACCTGCGCAGCCTCCAGGTGGCCGTCTTCCACTTCCAGCTGTCTCCCGCCTTACGTGGGGCTGTCACGGGGGCCCAACTGCAGCAGCTCTTTTCCAATCTCTCGCAAGTCAAGGGCACCAGTGAGAGGTAGGGTGGTCCTCTGTTCCCCTCCCTCTTCTGCTCCTCTTCATTAACCCACCAAGGCCTTTGGAAGCCTTCCAGGACAATCACCTGTGGGGGCATCCAACATGCTCCTTGTTGTGGCACGCCAGTGGCCAGTGGAGCTGGCAGCAGAGTCAGACAGTGAGGAGGTTGGGGAGAAACTTGGGCCAGTCCTGGGGGCTGGGGAAAGCTCAGACGAGGGCTCTGCGTCGGAGGCAGAGAGGGAGATAGACAGCAGTGAGGCAGAGGAACAGCTGGAGCCTGTTCCCAGTGTGCTCATGCACAGAGCCGCCAGAAGACAAGAACAACTCAAAAAGCAGGGTCGACTCGGGAGTAAAGCCACACCTGGGAGGTGATTGGCCCCTCCTACAGGAAATCAAAGAGGAGCGAACAGGGAGGGCGCTTTTGCAGGAAACAATTTGTTTGTTCCATGACTCTGAGAGACTCTGTGCCAAGTTTTGCCTTGTACTGCAGTTGGAAACAAGTTACGTGGCAGCTTGCCAAACGAGATAAAGTCTGTGTTGATAAATATTCCTTTGAAAAGCTGTTTGGACAAACCTTGCTGACTGTGAATGAACGTTAATTCACAGTTGTGTAAATAAAAGAGGTTTTGCCAGGACCAGTTCCTGCCTCCTGCTTGTTAAGGGAGCCTAGGTCGGAACACTCCTCCTCCTCCTCTCTGTCCCCTGCAGGTTTCTGCTGCAGCTGGAGGATCACCTGGATGAGGATGTCTTCTTGCCGGGTCTTGGGGAAGTGGTCCTGAAAAACTGCCCTGCTTTCCACCGGGCTTACGTTCCCTACGTCACCAACCAGATGTATCAGGAGCAGCTCATGCAACGGCTGATGTGAGGAGCGGAGGGGATGCAGGGTGGCAGCCCCACTGACGAAAGAGTTGGGGGTCGCTGGCTGAAGCAAGGGACCGGTCCATCGGTGGCCCGCTGCTCTAGCCAAAGCATCCCTTCGACTCATGCCACAGATTCACATGGGATGTTGGCCCATCTTACCTCCCACCCGACGTCCACCTTAGGCCTAGCTTTCCTCAGCTCTGATCAACTGGGGCATGTATTAGTGCCCCGAGGGCCTCCTGATAACTTTTCTTTGTTCCCTCCACCAAGCCAGGAAGGGGAACAGCCGCTTCCTGCACGTCCTGCGCACGCTGGAGGAGCAGCCCATCTGCCAGAGGCAGCCCTTGAAAGCCTTCCTGGTCTTGCCCTTCCAGAGGATCACTCGGCTCAAAATCCTACTGCAGGTAGTGGGGGGAGAGAGGGATGCTTATTCAACTTACTACCGTGTTTCCCCGAAAATATGACCTACTCCAAAAATAAGTCCTAGCTTGATTTCTACCCATGCGTCCAATATAAGCCCTAATTAAGACCCTACAGGTTGCACGGGTAAAAATTAAGCTAGGTGAGGATACGGGGGGTGAAGCTACCCTACTACTTACCTTCGCACAGTTGCAGCCAGGTCTCGCACACCCCAACACCTGCCTTGCTGGTCCATTTCTTCTGCAGCCAGCAGGTGCGGCAAGGCTTTCCCGAAGGCCTTTGCAGAGGCCTTCAGGAAAGCCTTGCCGGCTGCAGAAAAGAGAAGTTCCTGAAGGCCTCTGACAGCGAAAAGGAGGCCGGGGGGCGACGCGCGCAAGTGAGGTGAGTCAGTGGATGACATCCCCCGAAAATAAGTCCTGGTGCCTTTTTTCGGTGGCAATAAATAAATAAATAAATTAGGATCTTATTTCTTCTCCTAGGCAAGGAATCAATATTCCTTCCCTAGGAAAAGTGGGGGGAAGAGAACCAGTTTGACATGCCCATGGCTTTCTCTCCCTCTCTGTCAGAACATCCTGAAATGGACCAGACCCGATTCTGAGCTGGCAAAATCAGTGGGCTTGGCCCATGAGGCCGTGGGGGAGGTAAGTGCTGCCGGGGGAGACTCTTCCACATTTGCATTTCCTGGCTCCTTCCTTCCATTTGTCCTCCCTGCCCGTCAGGCTCCTCCGCTTTGGCCCAGCGTGGCTCTCCCCGTGCAAGACAAACCGCTTGCTGCAGTGGTGAAATCCAAATTTTTTTACTGCCGGTTCTGTGGGTGTGGTGTGGCTTGGTGGGCGTGGCAGGGGAAGGATACTGCAAAATCCCCATTCCCTCCCCACTCTGGGGCCAGCCAGAGGTGGTATTTGCCGGTTTTCTGAACTGCTCAAAATTTCCGCTACCAGTTCGCCAGAACCTGTCAGAACCTGCTGGATTTCACCCCTCTCTTGCTGCCTTTTTCAGATTGTGTCCCAATGCAACAGGAACGTCCAAGCCATGAAACAGAAAGAGGAGTTGGTGATCCTGGAAAAACGGATGGACTTCTCCAAGGTCAAAGTGAGTTGACCTTTCACGCCTGTGAAGTTATCATGGATTAGAATGATAATTATAATTATGGATATAAATACCGCGATCCGGCATAAGGGTTACAACATCCTGTTTTCCTTAAGGTTTGAAAAAAATTGCAACTGCTCCCGAAAGAATATTGATCAACCATGAAACTGCTTGGATAAAAAAATATTGTCGGGGGGTGGAACAAATGAATATGGAGGGCAAGTGCAGTTCTGCATATTCGCAGGCTGTCACGCAGAAGAGAAAATTCTCTTTTATGTTCTACCAATATGAGTCTTCAAAGTCCGATCAGAGGATGCTGGATGAGAAAATGACTCATCCTTGGCCGGAACCAGAAAAGTTGCATCTTTGTTATAACCTCTTTTCATCTTTCTGCTTGCCTATATCACAGTGCCAAATTTCTCTGCCAATTGGTCAGTAGGGTTGCCAATCTTGGCAATTTAAAGAGAACAAAGTGTGTTGTCCATTCCTCCTTCAATGCCAAATACCATATTTTTCGGTGTATAAGACGCACTTTTTCCCCCATAAAAGAGGGTGAAAATTTGGGTGTGTCTTATACACCAAGTGTAGCCAAAAATGCGAGGCACGGAGGAGGCGATGGTCTGTGGCAATCCCTGCAGCCTGGAACAGCTGATTGGAGGTATTTCAGGAGGCCAATCCACCTGCAGATCAGCTGCTGGTGCTGAAACAGGCTGCAATAATGTGCTGAAGCTGACCTGGCTGTTCGCTATTTGCTGCAAGGACGTGTCAGAGTTTGCAGCAGCAATCACATCCAGAAAGCACACACAAGTAACTGATTCAGCAGGATTCAATAACTTCTCTTTATATATATAATATAACACGTGAAGTAAATATACAATACCAAAAGCAGGTTTTCCAATGTGGTAGTAAATACAAGCAAAACACAAGCAGAGGAGAGGAGTTTCAGTTTCAGTGATCAGCACAGCATGCAGACAGTTGAACTAAGCCATGCCCAGGCTCCTTGCTGTCTCCTTCCTTGTTGCTCACACAACAAATGCTGTTTCAGTTTCCAAACAGTCCTCAACTCTCTCACACACTGACAGGATGCTAGCCAGATGAATACCGATGGATGCTGGTAGGCAGAGTCAGATTTTTTTTCTTATTTTCCTCCCCAAAAACTAAGGTGCGTCTTATACTACGGAGCGTCTTATACTTTGAAGAATACGGTAGCTTGCAAACTATTTGCAACTTAAAATGATTCTGAATTTTACTTTCAGAGGGAAATAGTGGTGGGAATTCCAAGTCCTTGCTCTTTTTTGAAGAAACACACTAACTGATGCTCTGTTTTGCTGTGTTTTTTTGAAGGGGGGGAATGCATTTATTTGGAGGGAAAGCTGAATCGTAAGACAAAGCCCCATTTAATTTTCGCAGCCCCTTCCTCCCATCAGACCCCACCTGCCTAAGGTAGCCTGGATCAGATTCTCTGCAACAAATCCTACTAAAGAGCTAGAAGCCGAATGTCCCAAGAGATGCCCTCCTGAGCTGCTCTCGTATTTTCCTTAAGGAAGCTGAGCCTCCATCTTTTCTTCCTGCAGCCTCTTCCTCAATTCAGCCAGGGTCGCTGGCTAGTTCACGAAGGAGAACTCCGGCAGGTCCTAGTCCAAGAGGCCGGACTCGGCTACCGGCCCCAGGTCAGCATGAAGTCCATTTATCTACACCTGTTCAACGACTTGCTGCTGCTTTCTCACCTCAAGGAGTAAGTGCCCCTCTGCCTTGAAAGACCCTCACCCAGCCTAGTTAGGAATCTGGAGTCTAGGGGTGTCAAAGTTGATTTCATTGAGGGCCGCATCAGGGTTGTGTTTACCCGGGGTGGGCATGGCCATCTTGACATCACTTGTATCAGGGGCGCCTGTGGTGCAGAGGTTGGTTTCAGCAGGTTCTGACCAGTTCTGGAGAACCGGTAACAGAAATTTTGAGTAGTTCGGAGAACTGGTCTCTGACTGGTCTGGCCCCCATCTATTCTCTGCTTCCCGAGTCCCAGCTGATCGGGAGGAAATGGGGATTTTGCAGTATCCTTCCCCTGGAGTGGGGTGGGAATGGAGATTTTACAGTATCCTTCACCTGCCAAGCCCACCGAGCCATGCCCACAGAACTGGTAGTAAAATTTTTGAATCCCACCACTGCCGTGGTAGCCTGAGTGCTCTGCCAGCAAAAACGGGCTGCCGAACTCCACTTTCAGCAACCATGGCCTCCTGCCGTCCTCTGCCAGTGAAAACAGAGCTCGGGGGGGCAGGCCACATCCGGCCTGCGGGCCTTGAGTTTAAAAACCCTGCGTTAGTTGGAGGAGATCTAGCATGGTCACAAAGGCTAAAATGTCTCCTTCTTTCTCTTCCTTCCAGAGACGGGCGCTTCTTGGTGATGGACTACGCCTGGGCTGGTCACGTCAAAGCTGAGCTTTTCAGAGCAAAACCCTTGGGACTCCCAGAATGGAGCTTCTACCTCTCCATGGCCCGGAACCACAGAGATGAAAGCAGAGATCTGGTCCTCAAGGCAGGGAGCGAGTGAGTTGTTTTCCTCTCCAGTAAATGAGTGATGTCCGTGATGTAAGGTACCTTTGGTCACAGAGAATTCCAGATTACAGCAGCCGCTGGCCAGGACACGACTCCCTCCGATAGATGGAAGTGATCATTCTAGAGCAGGGGTGTCAAACTCAAGGCCCGGGGGCCACATTCGGCTGGCAGAGCGCTCGGGCCGCCAAATGCACCCCTGACACAAGTGATATTAAGATGGCCACGCCCACCCTGGCCACGTCCCCATGCCCTCTCCGCATCAAACACAACCTTCATGAAATCGAGTTTGACACCCCTGTTCTAGAGCAACTTAACAGTCAGTGTCACAAGTGGTGGAAGTGCTTAATCAAGCTTGGGTGGATCTCCAAAAGAAAAGCTAAGCGGCTCAGACCTGGCTTGGGCTGAATGTGATGCCAGCAGGAAATCCCAGTGGTACTGTATATAGATTGCACAAGGAAGCCAAAGCAAAATGAAGGGAATGGGCGGCCATCCAGTTCCACGCTGCTGCGGAGGTGACATCACCAATGCCACATGCCCTCCAGACGTCAAGGCAAACTCCTTTTACAGCAGGAAGGGTTGGTGCCCTCCCTCCCTGCAAAGGCAACTGCATCCTCCTTTTCCTTCCCACCCCCACCTGGTAGCGGAGCAAAGCAGGCGAGCCAGGGAGCTCGGGCAGGGGTGGGATTGAAAAATTTTAGCAACTGGTTCTCTGCCCGGTGGCTGGGTGGGCGTGGCCCAGGGGTGGGTTCTACTTAACTTTACTACTGGTTCGCAACAGGATCATGTGCAGATCGCTGATGACAACATCCGCGGCGGTGGGCGGGGCTTCCCGCTGGTTTTACTACCAGTTCTTGCGAACAAACCAGGGGCAACCTACCACTAGCATGGTCATGCGGGCATGGCCTAGTCGGCTTCCTGCACTACGGCGGGGGTGTGTGTGTGGCTTTTCGCTCTCCGCAGGCTCCGAAGGCTTTTTTTGAGCCTCTAGGAGGGCAAAAATAGCCTCCCCAGGGCTCCGGAGGCCCTCTGGAGGCCAGAAACGGTCTCATTTCCATACTTCCGGTACTTCCAGCCCATTTTTTGCCCTCCCAGAGCCTCCGCGTGGGCACTGCACTAACATCCGGTTTGCCGAAACCGGTCCGAACCGCCTGAGCTCAGGTCCTCTTCACTGGGGAAGTCTCCTTTGAACTGTCTGGTTGCTTGTTTGTTTGTTTTTGTTTGTTTTTTTTTTTTCTCCCAAGGGCCCAAAGACAGGAATGGATTTCACGGCTAACAAGCCACTGAAACCTCGAGGCAGGAATTCCCAGGAGCTTCGATCCGACTCCCCACCTCTGCCAGGCCTTGCTGTTCTGACCCTAGGCTTCCCCAAAAAGCACAAAGCAGAATCCTGGTCCCAACAAAACCCCTTTTATTAAACAGACAGTGAATTCTTCTCATTCACCTTCAGCCAAGTCTTTCAAGGGAGAATTTACAGTCACAGACCTTATCTGGCTTGGAGAGCTGCCAGGCCGATATCTTCAAAACTTGGCAAGGAGTCTCAGAGAGTCACGAACCAATTAAGTGAATTAATTGTCTCCTGCAAACTCCCCTCCCCTTTTGCTCCTCTTTTATTCCCTCTGGGAGGGGCCATTCATTGTCCGCCTGTGGCCTTACTCCCAAGTCGACCCTTGTTCTTTAGCTGCTCCCTTCATCTGGCAAATCTGCATATGCGCACACTGGGAACAGGCTCCAGCTGTTCGTCTGCCTCACTGATGTCTGACTCCGAAGGCAGCTGATAACTGGCATACGGCCCTGGCCCCCTCTCTGCCTCCGACGCAGAGCCCTCATCAGAGCCTTCCCCAGACTCCAGGACTGGCCCATGTTCCTCCCCTAACCTCCTCACTGTCTGAATCTGCTGCCAGCTCTGCTGGCCGCTGGCGGGTCACAACACAGGCTGCTTCTAACAACCAAAGGACATGTCTTGCATTGGAACTACCCACAGAAGGCTTCAAAGCATGGAAACGGGGCAACCGTTGAGTCCAAAGAGGCTTTAGGTAAAGGGGAGGCCTTGATTTCCTCTTCAAAAGAAGTTGGCGAATATCAGGGGTTTCCACGACCTTCAAAGCCACAGAGACTAAATGGAAACAAGGGGATCTTTTTTCCATGGGGATGCAATTATTTTGAGGGTGGACAACGCAGAAGCAGGCTGAGCTGGCCGAGGCGTTTTGGCAAGTGATGCTGCTTCGTTAAATACCCAACGTTTTGCTAAAATTGTTAAAATAAAATGGTTAAAAATTGCTACCATAAGGTTGTATTTATTTTTATAGTTAGTAAGGTGACTTTAGCATGCTTGGTCTCACAGACGCAGAAGAGGAGACTTTTAAAAGTATTCCATTAGCAAACGAGCCACAGAATAACAGAACAACTTCATGACTTTCTTATGCACAGCAGCGACTTAAAAGACAGCTGTAGACTCTTTAATTTGGAGTCACGCTGCAAAAAGCCCAATCTCTAATTGCAGAACCAACCTAAATCGTAAATTCTGCCTTTCAGCACGGAATGTCCCCGTGCTTTTCCCGATCACAAGGGGGCAGCAACATCCCATCAGTCAAACAACGGAGTTTTTCAGCTGGCTTTGCCAGAAATTACAAGAATAAATAAATAATAAATATGGCCAAATAAAAATGCAGGTTTGAAACGGTAGAATAGGTTAAGTTTTCGGCTGGCAAAAGCAAGTCACGCTTCTGTGATTTGGGGTGGGGGAAAACTGCCTTTCCTCAGCAAGGCTTTCAATTCCATTATGAGAAAACCTTAAAAGAATTGGGGTTCAGCGCTTCGTATTCTGTAGACACAGATCTATACATTTAGATTTCTTTAAAGCGAGTCACAGGCCTTCTATTCCCCCCCTCCCAAACCTTCACAGAAGACCTGCATTTCTTCATGTCTCTACCGTGTTTCCCCGAAAATAAGACCCTGCCTTATATTTTTTTTGAACCCTGAAATAAGCGCTTGGCCTTATTGCCATGCACTCAGAAGCCCGATTGGGCTTATTACCAGGGGATGTCTTATTTTGGGGGAAACAGGGTAGATAGATAGATAGATAGATAGATAGATAGATAGATAGATAGATGGATGGATGGATGGATGGATGGATGGATGGATGGATGGATGGATGGATGGATGGATGGATGGATGGATGGATAGATAGATAGATAGATAGATAAATAGATGATAGATAGATGATTGATAGATGATAGACACACTGTTTCCCCGAAAATAAGACCCTGTCTTATATTTTTTTGAACCTTGAAATAAGCGCTTGGCCTTATTGCCATGCACTCAAAAGCCCGATTGGGCTTATTATCAGGGGGTGTCTTATTTTGGGGGGAAACAGGGTAGTTACAGATCTCCTCTGAAGAAGTTTATCATTGATGAATATTTTCAATGTAAGGGAGCAAGAGAGGGCTGGCTTGGCGGGGTCACTCGCCCTCATCAGCACCCCCAGAGTGACAGTTCCCCAGGCAGAGAGGCAGCCCTTCTGAGTAGGGCGAAGTAGGGAGGGAAAGACGGAGGGGGAACAGGACTTCTAGGCCACTTGGAATGATCTCCATTGAAGCTGCCGGAGAGAGAAGGACGCACAGTTCAATCCTGCCACTGAGAGTATTTGTGTGTGTGTGTGTGTGTGTGTGTGTGTGTGTGTGTGTGTGTGTGAGAGAGAGAGAGAGAGAGAGAGAGAGAGAGAGAGAGAGAGAGAGAGATGAAAGAGAGGGAGAAGGAGGAAGGGAGGGAGAGATTGTGTGTGTGTGTGTGTGTGTGAGAGAGAGAGAGAGATATGAGAGAGAGAGAAAGAGAGGGAGGAAGGGAGGGAGGGAGAGATTGTGTGTGTGAGAGAGAGAGACATGAGAGAAAGAAGAGAGAGAAGGGGAGAGAAAGAGAGAGATGTGTGTGTGAGAGAGAGAGAGAGATGAGAGATATGAGAGAGAGAAAGGGAGGGAGGGAGGGAGAGAAGTGTGTGTGTGTGTGGGAGAGAGAGAGATGAAAGAGAGGGAGGAAGGGAGGGAGAGAGTGTGTGTGTGTGAGAGAGAGACATGAGAGAGAGAAGAGAGGGAGAGGGAGAGGGAGAGAAAGAGAAAGAGAGAGATGTGTGTGTGAGAGAGAAAGATGAAAGAGAGGGAGAGATTGTGTGTGTGTGAGAGAGAGATGAGAGATATGAGAGAGAGAGGGAGGGAGGGAGAGAAATGTGTGTGTGTGAAAGAGAGAAGAGAGAGGGAGGGAGGGAGGGAAAGAGAGATGTGTATGTAAAAGAGAAAGATGAGAGAGAAGAGAGTGGGGAGAGAAAGAGAGTTGTGTGTGTGAGAGAGAGATGAAAGAGAGAGGGAGGGAAGGAGGGAGAGATTGTGAGAGAGAGAGAGAGAAGAGAGGGAGGGAGGGAGAGAAGTGTGTGTGTGTGTGTGTGTGTGTGAAAGAGAGATGAGAGAGAGAGAGAAGAGAGGGAGAGAAAGAGAGATGTGTGTGTGAGAGAGAGATGAAAGAGAGAGAAAGAGGGAGGGAGGGAGGGAAGAGAGATGTGTGTGTAAAAGAGAGAGATGAGAGACAAGGAGGGAAGGAGGGAGGGAGAGATTGTGTGAGAGAGAGATGAGAGGGAGGGAGAGAGGGAGAGAATGTGTGTGTGAGAGAGAGAGAATTACAAGGGCATGACTACCACTGTAATGGGGGAGGGGCACATTCAAGGATTTAGTGAGTGTAACATCCACCCTCCCCCATCAAAAAGCTACAGCTACCTGTCCGTGGGAGGGAGAGGCTGCAACTTCCACCCCCCACCCCCCACCCCCCACATTTTGTGGGGCTGAGCCCAGGAGCTCTGATCCCGCTCCGCGTCTCGTGGAGAAGGAAGAGGTAAATAAGTGACCAAGGATTTGCTTCGGTGAATGCTAAGTGCCACCTGCCAAGCAGCGCCAAATTGTTGCCCCAGGAATTGGCTTCCCCTCCTTCTACCCAAGAGGCTCTGCTCTCTTCTGGGCATTTATGGTTCAAATGAGCTGACAAGAAGGGCTTGTCCAGCCAGGGTGAGATCCAACTGGCTCTGCTCCCCGTTCCCTCCCTTCTCCACCCAAGGGCACCTCGAATTCTTTGCTCACCATCAGACTAACGATTAACCTACAAGTAGCCCCAACCAGCATTCGCTGGTTCCTTTTCAGTAAGCCGTCTCCTGGGCCTAAGGCACATCCTTGCCTGGAGTGATGGAGCAGAGAGGGAAGAACTAACTTGGAGCCAATGCTGCGTCCTTGCATCCAGCTGCCTTCTTCAAGAGCAGGGGGTGTCGGGAGCCAGATCTGCCCTGCGGGGTTCTTAGATCTGGCTCAAGGGGCCGCCATGGAAACAGCGAAGGACCGGCCCGCGGTGCCTCCACCAGCGAAACAAAGCTAGGGAGGGCCGCGTGCAGCTCTCTCGAGCTCCATTTGCGCTGGCCGAGGGTTGCAGGAGGCCATCGCAGCCGGAAATGGAGCTCGGGAGTCCGTTTTCGCTGGCAAAGTGCTCGGGCCCCTGACACGAGTGATGTTGAACTGGCCACGCACATTCTGGCCACGCCACGCCTCCCCCCCCAACATCAAACACAACCCTGGTGCGGCCCTCAATGAAACTGAGTTTGACGCCCCTGTTCTAGAGAGTCAGCTGAAAAAGCTACCTATTTCATTCCGCTGTAAGCTCTCACCATTTATGACGGACGCCCGGGCGTGACTGAATCAGAGAAAGGGCAAAGCCATCTTCCTTAGAGGGAAAGCAGCATATAAATCTAATTAATCAATAAAATAGGGGAAAACATACTTGGTGCTATCAACACACTTCGACCTATGCCGACAGACGGAATTGGATTAGAAAAGAGAAACGGGGTGGGTGGAAACAAACATAAAAGAGGAAAACAAGGTTAATTCTTATGTGGGGAGGAGACATGGTTAACTTAAAGGTAAGGTAAAGGTTCCCCTCACACATATGTGCTAGTCGTTCCCGACTCTAAGGGGCGGTGCTCATCTCCGTTTCAAAGCTGAAGAGCCCGCGCTGTCCGAAAACGTCTCCGTGGTCATGTGGCCGGCATGACTCAACGCCAAAGGCACACGGAACGCTGTTCCCTTCCCACCAAAGGTGGTCCCTATTTTTTCTACTTGCATTTTTTTTAACGTGCTTTCGAACTGCTAGGTTGGCAGAAGCTGGAACAAGTCACAGGAGCTCACCCCCGTTACGCGGCGCTAGGGATTTGAACCACTGAACTGCCGACCTTTCGATCGACAAGCTCAGCATCTTAGCCACTGAGCCACTGCATCCCCTTGGTTAACTTACTGAGGGCCAAAGAGCTTGGAATATTTTGGGAAGGTCTCAAGTGGTGAGTCCAGCAAGGCCAGAGGTGCTCCGAGATCTGCAAAAACAAGCAGCAGTCGCCACCGCCACCCCCAGCCCCACCCCG